TTTCAAATGTCACTTCGCCAAATTATGCAAATTAGGAGGTTACCCATGCCTGAACATGCCTGACCGTCGAAAACACTAACTACTTCAGTCATTTAGCACTGGGTTGTTGCCAACAGACTGGAAAAAGGCCTACATTACACCAATTCACAAAAAGGGACACAAGCACAAAAATGAGAATTACTGTCAAATCTCTTTAACCTCTGTTGTTTGCAAAGTGGCGGAGAATATGGTGCGATCCAGAGTTACAGCTTTCTGGTCAAATAACCACGTCTTAAACCAAATCAGAAATCTTCCCTTGCTGAACTGCTTAGTTGTTATCACCACTGGTGTTTAACAAGAAATAGCTCGAAAGCAACAGACGTCATTTTTTTAGATCTATCAAAAGCATTTGACAGGGTGCCCCACGAACGTCTTCTGCTTAAGCTCAATCGACACGGTATTGATTCCCCTTTGTTGCTATGGTTTAGAAATTTTCTAAAAAATAGGCAACAGAGAGTCACAATGCGTGGAACATATTCGAATTGGTCCCCAGTGACATCTGGTGTTCCCCAGGGAACAATCCTCGGGGCCACCTTGTTCTTAGCTAAACGTAAATGACATACCAAATGTTGTTACTTCTTCTATTGAAATGTTCGCTGACGATACAAAGATTTACCGTGAAATTAATAATGCTGAGGATACATTAGTACTACAGTCGGATCTGGATTTCCTGGAAAATTGGACAAAAAGCTGGCAAGTTAAATTTAATCCCCAGAAATGCTAAGTGATGAGAATAACACATAAACAAGACAAAAGTAAACGTCCTTATCACCTGTCGGATGCAGAATTAAACTCAGTTAACTCATGCAAGGACCTGGGTGTTGATGTGTCAAGAGACTGATCCTGGTCGAACCACGTGGACGCAGTTGTAAATAACGCAGACATAGTGGTGGGCCTACAAAAACGTACAGTTGGTAGCAAGAACAGGGAAATTTTCTCTATGCTCTATAAATCCTTGGTTAGACCAATCCTAGAATACGCATGCCCGGTATGGTCGCCCTATTTAGTTAAAGTTTAGTTGACACTCAAAAAAGTACGACGAAGAGCATCGAGAATCGCTCTCACTCAAAAACTATGCAAGATGTCATAGGAAGAATGATGTATGTTGCTAAACTGGAACACCCTTCAGCATCGAAGAGAATTCTATCTTTAGTGGAATGCTACAAGACAGTGTTTGGTCTAAATGGCCTAGACTTGGATGACTATTTCGAGTTTTGTAGAAGTAAGAACACTAGAGCCAACCATCCATTCAAAATACAAACTAAATTAGCTAAAGTTAACTCTTTTAAGTACTCCTTCTTCGTGAGAATCGTCAAAAAATGGAACAGTTTGCCAAACCATCTCTTCAACGGACGAAATTAACCTGAACAGATTTTCAAAGGCTTAAAAAGACGGATGAAGATTTATTGACACAGAAGCTTATATTTTAATTGTATATATTTTCATTTTAAATACAATTTTTACATACCGTTTTGTACCTGCACTAATGATTTTTAGGCGCGTTTTTTATAATTTTCTGATATTTTTAAAGTTCAGTTATAGGGATAACCTCGCGGTTCACCTTTTCAAATATGTTTCGTGTATCAGGTTTATGAGCATACCGTACTTATTCGAATAAGCGCCCAACCTCGAATTAGCGCCCAGCTCGAATAAGCCCCCATCCTAAAGGCAGAAAAATTTAATAAGTGCCCAGCCTCGAATAGGCGCCCACCCCCTCCTCCTCCCAATCAAACTCAAATAAGCGCTCACCCCCACCCCACCTCTTGAGTTAATAAATTCTAATAAGAGACTTCCCCACGAACGGAGTTTTCTTCAGAGTATTTTACAGAAACCTTGCTTTGTTACTTCTTCGCGTTTTGTTATTAGCTTTAATTTTTTTGTTGTAAAATAAACATACTTCACTTGCTGAAAATGGTGAAAATTTAATAAGCGCCCAGCCTCGAATACGCGCCCACCCTCAAGGTCCAAAAATTTAATAAGCGTCCAGGGCGGTTAATCGAATAAATACGGTATATGTATTTGAATAAGGTATTATTATTATGATTATGATTTATGATTATGATTATGATTATTATGATTATGATTATGATTATTATTATTATTATTAGTAGTAGTAGTAATAGTAGTAGTAGTAGTAGTATTAACTAACAGGCTCTTTTTTGGTCTAACTAGGTGAGGAATTGTCATCATCAATATAATTGCTTAACTTGTTGTTCTTCTTGTCGTTGTTGATGACATCCCATCGTTTTAATTAAGATCATGTATTGTTTTCGTAATTTTTAAAAGTTGAAGCTAAATAGCATGACTTTTTCGCTAATATAGCAGGATAATATAGCATGACTTTTTCGCTAATATAATATCTCTGCTCAGGTCATAGTCAAATCACTAGTAAGAGTTACACAGAACCTAACTGGCACATGTCTCGTGTGTGAACGGAAGCCTTGTCTGGTATGATTTTCGTGCAGGCGCACAAGTTAACCAGTGGCACAAGAGCTTTCCGGTATAGGCGAATCCTTGTTTACATTTTTTGCCCCATTAGCATAGGCTTATCATTATCTGATGAAGCTAATAAAATCAAATTTCTGAATATTGCAAGAGCATAACAATTTCAGTTATCTGTGAAAATTTAAGCCCTTTATGCCAAATAGCTTCTGAGAAAATTCTCTTTGAAAAACTCCCAACTTTACAAAGAATGTGTGAGCTCATTAACGTTTTGCCGCCCAGTAATTTAGCAGTTTTTAATTGCTGTTATTTTATTTGTTACTGATTGCAAAGAGCTAAAACTTGCACAAACTGCATAAATTGACCAACTCTTTTAATTTTTGCACCTAATCGGTAAATACAGCTATGGGTTAGCTCATATGCTAATGAGAAAAAATGTAAACGATGACGTCACCATGAATCCGCCAATAGTGTGAACATAGCCTTAAACGAAGCAAGTTTATTGAAAAGAACATTTTTAAAAGTTTGATGCGTGGCTTTGTAGTTTTTGTTTTAGAGTTGAATAGGACCTAATAAAAGGATTTCATTTGCATATTGACCCTCCGAATGGTGGGCGTTTTCGGCTCCTGATGTTACTATTTCATGGTTTCCGCATTTGGTACAAATACGACACATTCTAGAATAGAGGCGACCACTGATTTAGGCAGGAAAGGAAAATCCAAAGTGCTGTGAGTCTCAGACGCGCCTATACAAGCATAGCTTCTGCGACAGTCAAGTAAAATAAAATTTGTCGCTGTTGTTTTCGGGCTTGGCTGACTCTTGTTCCCCGCTCGGGCTGTGGAAAGTGTTCCCTCTCTTTTACTGGGGTGATTTTTTGTGAACTGCTATATCTGCGTTTTCAACATTATATACGTTAACTTAATAAAAGGCCACGCCTATGGCCATGTTCATTATTCGGGAGTTTTAATCATTCTCTGTCCCAGCAGCTCACCGACTTATTATGTAGATTTCACCAAAGGCAAGAATACTATGAAAAAAAAAACAAACAAACAAACAATCAAATAGTTCAGATAAAACTGGCAGTCACAGGTGCTATAATTAGCCTGTTAACAATCTCACTTAAATAGTAGTCGTGATGCAAATATATAAAGCTTGTTCTCATCATCATCATCATCATCATCATCATCATCATCATCATCATCATCCCGTCATTATCATTATAGTAATTACTGTTGCGATTGTTGTTGTTGTCGATATTTGCATCATTATTATTAAGGTCACGTACTGTACATGTTTTAGTTATTTAACGTTGAACCTAAGCAAAGTATGGAGTTTTAATTATCTTTTTAGTCCACTCTAAAGTCACTTGAGTTGCATGCATCATACAATGAAAGAACAGCAAACTTGAAACATTGTCAGCAACCGTATTATGCTTTCTCGGGGATTCCGTCGATTGTGGGTCGTTGATGGAAATGAATGAAAAATAATTCCTTTTTGGATACATCGTTTCTTTTCTTAATGAAAAATCCTAATGATCCGGATATTTTTTTTATCACATCATGGAATTTAGTAAAGAAACCACCCTTAGTCACGTGGTCATACAGAAGGCAAGGCCTTCATTTGTTCATTATGTGCCTCATGCATGATCCGCAAATTATATTTTTTATGTTCGATTTTTCGTGTAGCGATAAAATTTCCCTTTGGTGGGCAATATGAGTATGCTAAGACTAACAAAACGGCCATTTCTTCTTTAGTTAGATTATTCTTTTTCATCCACCGCCACGCAAGTTTCAAGCATATATGCCTTCAACCTGTACCATGAGATGATGAGAAATTTCGAGTTCAAATTTCGAGAAGTTTTTCAAAACTTTCGCAAACGTCGACGAGCCTGCACGTTGCCTATATCTACCCTTTAAATACTAAAGTACGTTCAACAATGCTATGTTTAAGTGGTTTTGAACTATATTCTCGTTGGGTGCCCCTGACGATTGTCGTCATTTTTCACATATGGCAAAACTTTCGCAAACGTCGACGAGCCTGCACGTTGCCTATATCTACCCTTTAAATACTAAAGTACGTTCAACAATGCTATGTTTAAGTGGTTTTGAATTATATTCTCGTTGGGTGCCCCTGACGATTGTCGTCATTTTTCACATATGGCAAAATTTTTCGTAATTTGGTCGACAATAGCTGGTTATGATAATTTTTGCGTGGGATTTTAGCGAATCAGAACAGGAGAAATATTTTGAGTGAATAATAATGACAGTTACCTTTTTTTAGGGCTATATCATTAATGATATCAAGCACGTTTTTCAATGATCATGTGCATAGTCCAACCTTACTATTAATGAAAGAGTCATAGCAGTTTTTATTCTTGAGTAATTGAATAAATTCACCTTACAAGACTTTCGAGGAAAGCGAATCAATATCAGTTCAGGAATTAAGAAGGCATGCATCAATCACGTGCAAACTTAGAAAAGTAGACTGATGAATGCTAAGTCCAAAACGAACTCTAAATTCTACAAGCGAAAGATACTTAAGTATGCCTCTTCAAAGGCGCGCATTCGTGCAGAGTAAATCAGAAAATTCATAACAGAGTTTGACACAGCCAAGGTTCGGAGCCACATGTGTAAAGGGCTGTTTGGCCTCATACCTATGACAAACCTCATAGTCTTTACTGGAACCCAACAAACTGTAAAAACGCCGGTTGCAATAGCTAAGATGTAAGCAACACGGACTCCCTGCGCAAAGTAAACTTTACGGAAAGCGTTCGGGCTCTTAGGTCCTTTCTTTTCTTCTTGTACCTGAGCAGAAATACTACGATCATAAAGTATGAAAAGATGATGACAAAGCAGCTCAAGGAAAACGATGTCATCGCCACGAACTTTTTGGGAAAGGACGGGGGAAGGACAACCATCAAAACAGGAATTGAAATCGGTAGTGCCCAAGAAGCTGTGAGCAAAATCACAAGTCCGCATTTCTTCATGAAAATTTTTTTGGTGAAGAGGGAACGTAACGGCGATAAACCGATCCACACGGATCGAGGCTAAGTGGATCACTGAAGCGGAGCAAGAAAGATTGACTATGAGACGATACGGCCTTTCCAGGCTTGCTTTGCATTCGTGAAAAAAATGTTCGATTGTAGAAGATTTCCAAAAGGACGGGCTCGCATACCAAGGTGACGAATAAATCAGCGATCGCTAGGCTGAACAGAAGGTAGTTTGAGGTTCGGCGTAGGAGAGGGTGATTGGCAATGGCAAAACAAAGGAGTAAGTTCCCAAACGATCCCAATATGCACACCATGGCATTGACTGTGATCAGTGCAATACCATGGGTCATGGGAAGAGAACAATTCTTGGCGTTCTCCGATGATTTGTTCGTGTTCTCTTATGGCCTGTGTACTATACGGTGTAAAATCAGGATAACTTTCTCTAAGCTCGAGTGAATGGGAAAAACTCGCAACTAAGATATCGAAAAGTATGTTTACCTCGCCGAGTCAGACGTATTGGACTTATTTTGACTCAGAGAAACCTATAAATAGTCTACTGACGTGAGCCGGAAATAGACATTCTGAAACTCTTATACTGCGATAACAATAATCAGATAAGTCAGATTGATAGCCGTAGCTGCAAATATTAGCCTTCTAACAAGCTTTCTTGCAATAATAAAATACTGCAAAAGTTTTTAATCTTTGCCACCCAGACCATGGCCTTAACCTGAAGATATGATCAATTGAATGTCGAAAAAATTAGGATGGTGCATTTGAGCTAAGCCAACTAATATAATAAACTAGGTACTGCTTCACCATCAGGGTATCAAGGTGGCGCAGTGCTGAGAGCAATCGCCTCGCAACAGTGTGGCTCGGGTTTAAATCCTTGCGTCCTCAAAGCCATATCTGGGTTGGAATTGTTGTTGGTTCTCTCCCTTGCTCCAAGTGATTTTTCTCCGGGTACTTCGATTTTCCCCTCTCCTCAAAAAACAACATTTCTAAATAGCATTTCGACCAGGAATCAGGGAGATGCAGAACCACTAATATAAAAGGATGCGACGATTGTATGTCTTTATTTGACATCATGATCATTATTGCAAATGTTGTAGCTGTTGTTGTTGTTGTTTAAATCTCCATCATTATTATCAAGATATTGTATTGCGTTAGTAATTTGAAGTCCAGCCTTATTCACTTACAAATCTGCTCAGGCCAAGATCAAATCACTTGTGTTGCGTCATTACACCTGTCAGTGATACTGTGCTAAGTAGCCCATTTTACAGTTGTGGGCTGAGTGTCCTAGTCTTTGAGTGAATGTGAGACTGAGGTTAACCTTGTTTTTGATACAAACAAGCCTCCTTTCCTGTAATTTAAATTTTGCTTAAAAAGTACAAGTTAGTATTGTTATGAGAAAAACATAACTTACACATGTCCACTGAAGCAACAATCGGCGACAAAATTGTGGAGGCACTGTTTTCAAATGGGGCACTTTCGAGCAAAAAAGTTGGGTTGTTTGTTGTTCTCAATGGGTAGTTTGGACAGCGGCCAAGAGGTTAGGAAATAAGGCTAGTTTTTACTTTTTGAAGTAATGAAAGTGTCGGGAAAACGTTAGTGATGTCGTTGAGGACAAATTGTCTCACAGATTGCAGCTGGATATTTGCAAGAGATATTCGGTAATAATCAAGACAGTCGCTGTGTAAACACCTTTATGTAAACAAAGTCAATGGAGAGGAGTCTTTCGTCAAGGACTCAAGACCCAGCTGGATTTTGTTTGTTAATAGCTTCTAGCTACCGTTTGCCAATAGGATGACCTTGTTTTGATACAAACCTTCCTGCTTTATAAGGTAAATCAAGTTATTCTTATGGTAATTAGTATTTTTCAAGGACAATTTCCAGAACAAAGCAAACAAGGTTTGTATCAGAACAAGGTCACCGTCAGCCTCACATTCACTTGAAGGCTAGGGTACTAAGTACACCGCTGTAAACTGGTCTATTTTAGAACTTAGATGCGGACTTTAAAAATTCAACTAAAGGGAAATTCGCCGATATATGGCAAAATGCGCGAAGCTAAATAAACGCAATGAAGTTTGAAGGAAAATAAATGCATTCTGTTTCATTGACTTTTTACCTGCTGTTAAGATGTCGTCGTGGTTGCTTACGCTCCCTATTAACTAATAACGAATACTACCAGTCGTTAACAATTCTGCAAGCATTCCTGTATTTATAAACCAATAGTACACGCTGACCGTTTACCACATGTGTATATGACAGTTTCGCCTTACAAAAATTAACCATTAGGATCAACTGCGATTTCAAACAGTAGTTTTTAATTTCTTTAAACAAAAAGCAAAAAGTCCACAACTCTACAAGCGGAGCATCTTTCGTATGATGCTGACGTATGCCTCTCTGAAGTCCAGGATTTTAGCAGAGTAAATCAGAAAGTTCATGGCTGAGTTTGACAGAGCCAGGGTTGCAATCCACATGCCCAAAGGGGTTTTTGGCCTTATAAATAGTTTTTTATCCATTCTGGCAAAGATACTGACTGCAAACCCGGGAGCCCAACAAGCGGTGAAAATACCGATTGCGATGGCCAGTGTACAAGTAACACGAACCTCTATGCGGGAAGTCAGTCTCACAGAAACGTTTCGAGCTGCGCAGAGTTGCTCTCTTTTCCTCTTGTAACGTAGAAGAAATACCACGATCAGAAAGTAGAAAAACAAAATTAAGAAGAAGCTGACGAAAAAGGTTCCAGATAGGAGATATTGGCTCGCACGATATGAAAGCAACGGAATGACATGCCACAAAACGTGTACAAGAATCCCCTTAAAAACCGGAATTGACCAAGATACTATAAGCATAACTTTAAGTCCCCATTTCTCCATGAAGTTTTTGTGTCTCAGTGGAAACGCAACGGCAAGAAATCGATCAACACTGATAGCCGCCATATGTAAGACTGAGCTGGCACATGAAATATAGCTTAAAATGGAGAGCCTATAGTACAGGTCCGCTTTGCAATCGTACAAGAATGTTCTCTGGATGATGTCTCCAATAAAGAGCGGCTCACATACCAAAGTGACGATTAGATCAGCGATCGCTAAGCTGAATAGAAGGTAGTTGGAGGCTCGGCGTAGGTGAGGATTTGTAGCAATGGCCAAACAAACAAGGAAGTTTCCAAGTGATCCAAAAACGCAGACGATAGCGTTGATTGTGATCAGCGCAATACCATGAGCCATGGGAAGAAAACAATTGTTTTCGTTCTTCGATGATTCATTCATGCTGTCGTCGGGACTGATGTACTATTCGGCTTAAGACCAGAATTAAGTCCCCTCTTTCCTTCAAGGCTTTATAACATGTGAATAGATGAAGTTGGAAGTGAGAAATAAATAATTTGTTTGGCCCGCCCTTTTCAGACGTTGTCAGACTTATTTTGACGTAAAAGAACCTAATTTCGTCCACAGACGTGAGCCATATTGAAGCCAGATATATTTATTCTGAAACTCGTATACTGCGACAACAATAACATACGTCGGACTGAAAGCCATAGTTACAAATATTGAACCTGCTGGTAATAGAACTTTAGTGATAAATGCACATCTGCAGTGCATGCTCTTAGAACATAGTATACCTGAGTAATTCAGACCACGCCGCTAATCCGAAGACGCAAATTAAACGCGCTCAGGCTAGTTAAGGCATGGGTTGAAAGCAGGGGGGCTGGCAGCGAGGTCTGGAACCGAGTTTACGTGATCACCCCTGTTAAGAAATTTGGCCGAGTGAGACTGAGTACCAATTTTCCTTCAAAACAAATATGGCGGAGAAGATAATGAGTTTTTGCTCGGTTTTACGTTTTACGGCGTTCAAACATCAAGAAAAGGTTTTCATGAAGTTTTTTTATGAAATTTTTGGACATCTGGAGGCGTGATGTATGAACAGTTCATGAGTGACTTCGCTCATCGTGATTCGGCACCTTGGCAAGTTCAGTTATTTATAAGCTTCGTGAATTTTCGAGCGACCAGCCTCAGGGCAGCCTGCTCCATCTCTTATATATTTTTTCACCTACGGTGGTATTAAGAACTCTCTGCGTTATCCTAAACATATGCTACGAGCTCATTATAGTATGAGTCTTGCAACAGTCATATGGGAATGTTCATTAAACCAATTTTGTACTTCGCTGTTCGTAAGTTTGTTTGTACACCGGGAGCCACAACAAATATTTGTGGGCGTAAATACTGAATACAGGGTTAATTTAGTAAAAGCCAGGTTAAATGTTCCAATCACTTTGCTTCACATATACTGGGTCTGTCAGTATAAGCTATTTTTAATATCAAAAGGCTGCAGGGAAGGGCTTACTGAATCTTCAAAACCTTAACTGGAATATCGTTTGAGTGATAATCAATAAATAGCTCCAACAGTAATACCGTATTCAATAGTTTTATATTAGATAGTGACTTCGGTTTTAAGTGCTTCCTTGAAATTTTTTGTACAAAAATTACCCCATAGTTTTGAATTATACTTGAATCTGAGTGTGGGGACAAGAGGTTAATCCAGTTGCTAATAAGAGTCAGAGTACATCAGAGAGGGGTATGCTCAGTATACATTGAGAAAATCCCTCAAAGGACTGAATTACAAGAAACAGAAAAAAGAGAATTGAATGTTTTGCAAAGTTTATAAAGAGAATCAGAAGGACCTTGAAAAATGTACAACTTCAATTGTTTGTGTAAGTTATGAATCTGCTTTACAAGTAAAATAAACAAGGTAAAATTGACTTTTTATCAACCATCAAAAGAAGTTATTGTCCCTTGAGCCCAATCCCCTCAGCAGTTCTTTCTAGATACTACCTTTGGCTTATTTGGCCTAGATGGGTATGTGCTGCTGAGTTAGGGTGGTGACCATTTCACCCTTTAGAGTTTTGAACAGGATGTCGGTTTGGGCTGTGAAGGTTGATGAAGAGCAGTCTGTAGTTACATTTTTGGTACCACCATTTTTTTCCATCTTTCTAAGTTTAAAAGCTAACTTAATTCTGTATGCTAACTGAAGTGAATCAGGGTTATAAAATCAGGTCTCTTGGCATAAAAAGGGTGGGGAAATGAACGATGTGTCCTACTACCCATACTCTCTTTCAGTGCAAGCCAAGGGAGGTGATCTCACATTTTAATACCCTTTTACCACTTGTTTTAACAGCAAAGTCAGTGAAGGTCTATGGTCTCTGAAAAATGTTTTTGTCTGCCTCAACACAAGTGTCTAACTGTTATTGTTGACTACAAAATTAATAATATTATCTTAATAATCATTTTACATTTTTTTCCAAGACATCCTTTGGTGTTTTGCATATCCACTAGTACAAGGTAATTTTTAAGTTGGGAGGGTTTGATTTCATCAACTACATTTTTATACAGACACAAACTAACCTGGCAGGTTGATGTCCATAAGTGTAAAAAATTACATGCAACTGTATGGCAAAAACTGATCATCGTGGCCAAAGGAAAGGCAAAAATAGAAATGTCACCATTTTCCTGACTTTATACATTCCCTTGGAAGCATATTTAGCCAGATGTAGTCCTTGTCAAAACATGCAAACTTGAAGATTTATTTTCTGAACTTAGCTAATCTTTTTTAAACCATAATCTTGTTCCAAGGGCTAGTGTACTTTTTAAAATTTATAATTTTTCTCTCTTTTTTTGCAACAAGACACACTTGAATTAGGACTCAAACTAAAAGCAGTGTAGTAACTGCTGTCATGAAAGAGAATTCCAAACACACAAGGTAATTCCCTTTCATCTGCCTAAGATTCATTTGTTAGAAACTACGGTAAAGTTTAAATTAAATCGCACGAAGAAAAGAGCTTAAGCATATCAACGTGTGCAAAAACAAGAGAGAATGATCTCTCGGCAAAATTTATTTAGCTTCTAGTACATAAAGAAATACATGAACTACGAGATTTGACCATGCCACTCAATCATCCAATGCAACTCTGCCAGGATAAGTTCACAATCAAGGATGTAGAACTGAGAATCTCAATCATCATTTCTTGTCGTTTTAAAGGTGAAGTGAAGCCGTAAACAACTCTCAGCTGAACTCTGACAACTCTTCTACTCAACCACATGCCAGTCACGGCACTTTTTTTAATACCACGAAGAATTAATTTTGGGCCTTTCGATTGAAAACATAAACTCTTCTACATACGTATTGGAGGGTTGGGCCTTCTTTTACTCTTGCAATTCGTGGGTCGTCTAAACTGAAACAAATCATCAAAAGGTCGGGCATCGAGAAACATGTTCACTGGTCTCGTTCTTACCGTAGTAAACCGGGCCGCATTTAATGACAAACGCAAGACCAGAAGAAATTAGAAAAACGTAAGCTTCACATTACCGCGGAACAAAACGAAGAAACCAATGACCAACGGGACCAAAAGAAAGTTCACTTCACACTGCCGAATCGCTGCGAACTGAGAAGCTGCTACGGCGAACTTGTTGTTTTCCCAACCCGTTCCGCGCATGCTTGCTACATTTTTTGGATGATTGACAGATTTCCTAACTGGGGCGATCATGGAAAGCCGAAAAGCGGCAAGACCAAAGAGCGTTGCCTGCTCCCCCTGGTTGAAAGGCTAAAAAGACCCCCCCACAGAGAATGCAAAGATCCTCTTTAATGACACAGAAGGATCCAAGTAAAGGGTTCCACAAAGATATGATAAGACATATCTCACTAAAATGTTTTTGGAAAATTCATCCCAAGCATCACATGACACTCCTTTGACCATGACGTCACAAAATCTGTTTTCTCAAACGGAGCAAGGTTGTTAAACGTCAGCGTAAAAATACTTGTCATCAAATTGTCAGCGAAACTGTCTGGATTATCAATTAGCCTCGCGAGCTGGATTAAAGCATTTTTATTAAGGGTTATTACAGTATTTTGTAAGTCACGTCACCTGTTTTTCCTTATTTCTTAATCCTTCCTCCACTTAGGCATACATGCAGGGCTATTTCATAATATCCAGGCCATGGGAAAAACACTGGACTGGTGCCTAAGAATATTTGCTGCTCTTTCATTTCCTTTCCCCCGTTTTAATTTGAAAACTTTGAACGTTAACGATCATTTGCAGGTCACGTGACTAATATTTCAACAATGAATGTGTCACATATTGTTTAGGCCACCGAGCTAAATTGTTTGCAAAGTTTCATGACGACTGATCAAAACAATCTGTTTCAAATGCCACTTTGCCAAATTATGCAAATTAGAAGGTTACCCATGCCTTAACATGCCTGACCGTCGAAAACACTAACTAATTCAGTCGTTTAGCACTGGGTTGTTGCCAACAGACTGGAAAAAGGCCAACATTACACCATTTCACGAAAAGGGACAGAATTACTGTCAAATCTCTTTAACCTCTGTTATTTGCAAAGTGGCGGAGAATATGGTACGATCCAGAGTTACAGCTTTCTGGTCAGATCACCATCAGTTTGGTTACCTAAAATGGAAATCTTCCCTTGCTGAACTGCTTAGTTGTTATCACGACTGGTGTTTAACAAGAAATAGCTCGAAAGCAACAGACGTCATTTTTTTAGATCTATCAAAAGCATTTGACAGGGTGCCCCACGAACGTCTTCTGCATAAGCTCAATCGACACGGTATTGATAACCCTTTGTTGCTATGGTTCATAAACTCTCTAAAAAATAGACAGCAGAGAGTCACAATACGAGGAACATACTCGAATTGGTCCCCAGTGACATTTGGTGTTCCCCAGGGAAGAATCCTCGGGCCCACCTTGTTCTTACTCAACGTAAATGACATATCAAATGTTGTTACTGCTTCTATTAAAATGTTCGGTGACGATACAAAGATTTACCGTGAAATTAATAATGCTGAGGATACATTAGTACTACAGTCGGATCTGGATTTCCTGTTCGGAAAACTGGACAAGAAGCTGAAAAGTTAAATTAACCCCCAGAAATGCGAAGTGATGAGAATTACACATAAGCAAGACAAAAGTAAACATCCTTATCAAATGTCGAATACAGAATTAAAATCAGTTAACTTATGCAAGGACCTGGGTGTTGATGTGTCAAGAGACTGATCCTGGTCGAACCTCGTGGACCCAATGGTAAATAAAGCAAACATAGTGGTGGGCCTACTAAAGCGTACAGTTGGTAGCAGGAACAGGGAAATTTTCTCTATGCTCTATAAGTCCTTGGTTAGACCAATCCTAGAATACGCATGCCTGGTATGGTCGCCCTATTTAGTTAAAGGTAAGTTGGCACTCGAAAAAGTACAAACGAAGAGCATCGAGGATCACTCTCGGTCAAAAACTACGCAAAATGTCATATGAAGAATGATGTATACTGCTAAACTGGAACACAGTTCAGCATCGAAGAGAATACCTATCTGTGGTGGAATGCTACAAGACAGTGTTTGGTCTAAATGGCCTAGACTTGGATGACTATTTCCAATCGAGTTTTGTAGAAGTAAATTAGCTAAAGTTAACTCCTTTACGTACTCCTTCTTAAAAAATGGAACAGTTTGCCAAACCATCTCTTCACGGACGAAATTAACATAAACAAATTTACAAAAGGCTTAAAAAGATGGATGAAGATTTATTGACACAGAAGGTCATATTTTAATTGTATATATTTTCATTTTAAATACAATTCTTACATACCATTTTGTACCTGCACTAATGATTTTTACGCGCGATTTTATAATTTTTTAATATTTTCAAAGTTCAGTTTGGGGACCTTTTATAGGGATAACCTCGCGGTCCACCTTTTCAAATATGTATAGTGTATCAGGTTTATGAGCATATGTGTATTTGAATAAGGTATTATTATTATTATTATTATTATTAACTAACAGGCTCTTTATTGGTCTAACTAGGTGAGGCATTGTCATCATCAATATAATTACTTTACTTGTTGCTCTTCTTGTTGTTGTTGATGACATCCCATCGTTTTAATTAAGATCATGTATTGTTTTTGTAATTTTTAAAAGTTGAAGCTAAATAGAATCAATGCATGACTTTTTCCTTAATATAATATCTCTACTCAGGTCATAATCAAATCACTAGTAAGAGTTATATCACTACACTGAGCTGCAAGTGACGTTCACCTCTACACAGCGGCAAGTTTGCAATTATGGGAACATATTTAGGCTATTTTCCACCGATTTACTATACTGTACCTGATAGCTTTCCGGTACGGTAGTATGAACAGCAACGGCACAGAACTGAAGCAAGTAGTTCACACGCACAGTACACATCGAACATCGTGCCGGGACGGTTGGCCGAGAGGGTTTGATTACCTTAACCGCAATCCTAACACTCCCGAATATTTACTTTCATTCAAGTGGGTTCCAGTTGTCTTTCAGAGTTATTCCCTTTCGCTAAGGTCCTGAAATGTTCACACTACACCATAGCGTGGCACAGAACCTAACTGGCACCTTTCTCGTGTGTAAACAGAAGCCTTAGTTGGTATGATTTTCGTGCCAACGCAAAAGTTAACCAGTGGCACAAGAGCTTTCCAGTATAGGAAAATCCTTGTATACATTTTTTGCCTCATTAGCATAGGCTTATCATTATCTGATGAAGCTAGTAAAATGAAAGTTCTGAATATTGAAAGAGCATAACAATTTTCAGTTATCTCTGAAAAGTTAAGCCCGATATACCAAATAGTTTCGGAGAAATTCTCTTTGAAAACCCCCAAATTTACAAACAATATGTGAGCTCATCAACGTTTTGCCACCCAGTAATTTAGCAGCTTTTAATTGCTGTTATTTTCTTTGTTACTGGTTGCAAAACTTGCACAAACTGATTGCAAAACTTTCAAAAACTTGCACAAACTGCATAAAATATAACTAATTGGTATAAAGCTAATGAACAAAAATGTAAACAATGACGTCACGATGAATCCGCCCATAGTGTGAACATAGCCTTAAACGAAAAGAATATTTTGAAAAATTTGATGTTAATTTCAAAACATGCGTGGCTTTTTATTATTTTTTTTTTCGAGTTGAATAGGTCCTAATAAAAGGACTTCATTTACATATTGACCTTCCGAATGGTCGGCGTTTTCGACTCCTGATGTTACTATTTCATGGTTTCCGCATTTGGTACAAATACGACACATTCTAGAATAGAGACGACCACTGGTTTACGCAGAAAAACAAAAATCCAAAATGTTGTGAGTCTCGGACGTGCCTATACAAAATACGACGCGCAGCGGAGTATTTTTGACGAGCTTCGAGGCATTTCATCTGGTGATGAAACAGTGTGTGGAATGCTTGATATTACTTCTTAAACGAAATGATTTTGCCAGGAGAAGTTAAGGATGCAGAAATGAGCAGTTTTTCATCTGATTTCCAAACACTCAAACACTTTGTATTTACTTTATGAATTATTGATGAGTTTGAGAAATGTAGTTCGCCTATTCATTTCCCTCGAAATGAGTGAAATGTTCCGCCAATTTTTTGTACCCACTGCTAAAAAAACTCAGCCTCTCCTTAGGTCTTGTCGGTGAACGGTTCAATAATATGCAACATTGCTGCACGATTGACGTCATTTTTCCCATATCGCAACTGAATTCTTCGCAATTTGGTCAACAATAGCTGGTTATGATAAATTATGCGTGGGATTTTAGCGAATCAGAACACGAGCAATATTTGGAGTAAATAATAATGACAGTTACCTTTTTTTAGAGCTACATCATTAATGATCTTAAGCACTTAATTTAATTTATTGCGTCCTATAGTCTATCCCTGTAAACTTATAATTTAGAATTTTGTCTCTTCGTTATATCTTCTTATTCAAAGCTCTACACTTAAAAAGTGTATTGAGCACTGTTTAACGGCTTTAGCCACTTTATTACCCGTAAACTTATAAGTTATATATATTTATGTACAATGTGTTCGCAGTTTTATCTATTTAGATTCTTTTTGATGTAAGCTCGCTTTATACGTTTAATATATATGTTATTTATTTATTTATTTATTTATTTATTCATATATGTTATTTATTTCGTTGGATGAAAATACTATTTGTATGCTTAAGTTGTTGTTTTTGTGTTCCGCTGCTTCTATTTCCTCGCTACAGGCTGTGGTAGGTGTTCCCGCCTTTCCTTTACCGGGGGGTGATCTTCTGGCGAATCTATGCATGCCTTAACTTAATTGATAAACGATTACGACTGTGGCCAAATAGAGAGAAGTGTGACGTCACGTTATCATGGTAGCAAAATTTCTGGATCTAAACATTATTTTTTAACAGAGACGGCCATTCGCATCGGATGGGCTACCGTTTTGATCCTAAGTGCAACCATGCACGGGAAAGCCATAGGTGTCAATTTTTTTCTTCGTTTCTTTTTTTCGTCTGCCATATTTGTAGGGCAAAGGTTTGTTGAGATCCGGAAATTTTGCTGCCATGGCAACGTGATGTAACGGCTTTTCCCCTCTATTCATCGCATTCGGATATTCTTTTATTTCTGTCCAAACAGGTTTACTTTCAGAACTCGCCCAAAACAACAATCTGCCAAAAAAGACGAGAATGGGGAAAAGAAAAAAATGGTCCCCAGTAGGGTTCTTCAATCCCGTCATCCCGACCTAACATTTTTGCTCAGTTCCGTAATCCCGAGGGATATTTTCGGAATCCGCCTTCCCGTGTACACTTTCAATCCCGAATCTTGCCCCCATTTTCTTTTAAAATTCCGAATCTAATACAATACAATAACTTTATTTAAAGAGGGACACGCAATAACCTTTAACAGTCTACCTTACGGCCTTTTAAAAGCCTTCAAATGAGGCATAACCCGTTGGATCACGAAAAACCTACTAGGGACCCTCAAGAAACAAGGGGCCTTAAAACGGATATCTTCGTGAGCATTCGTCAGATCGCGTTGTTCCTGTGGGTAATCAGCCGTATGCAAATCACACTATTCACTAAAACCACATTGCACAGCGAGATGATGTGGGAATCACTGAAAACCAATTTACAGTGCGTGATTTGTTTCTCAATGATCATCTCCATAGTCCAACTTTATTATTAATGAAACAGTCATATCAGTTTCAATTCTTCAGTAATTGAATAAATTCACCTTAAAAGACTTTCGAGGAAATCGAATCAATATTAGTTCAGGAGTCAAGCACGAGCGAACTTAGAAAAGTAGACTGATGAATGTTAAGTCCAAAACAAACTCTAAATTCTACAAGCGACACATCTTTTGAAAGATACTTAAGTATGCCTCTTTAAAGGCGCGCATTCGTGCAGAGTAAATCAGAAAATTCATGGCTGAGTTTGACAGAGCCAAGGTTCGGAGCCACATGTAGAAAGGGCTGTTTGGCTTCATACCTATGACAAACCTCACAGTCTTCACTGGAACCCAACAAACTGTAAAAACGCCGGTTGCAATAGCTAAAGTGTAAGCAACACGGACCTCCCTGCGCGAAGTAAACTTTATGGAAACCGTACGGGCTCTTAAGTCCTTTCTTTTCTTCTTATACCTGAACAGAAATACTGCGATCATAAAGTATGAAAAGATGATGACGAAGTAGCTCAAGGAAAACGATGTCATCGCCATGAACTTTTTGGGAAAGGACGGTGGAAGGACAACCATCAAAACAGGAACTGAAATCGGTAGTGCCCAAGAAACTGTGAGCAAAATCACAAGTCCGCATTTCTTCATGAAAATTTTGTGGTGAAGAGGGAACGCAACGGCGATAAACCGATCCACACTGATCGAGGCTAAGTGGATCACTGAAGCAGAACAAGAAAGATTGACTATGAGACGATACGGCCTTTCCAGGCTTGCTTTGCATTCGTGAAAAAATGTTCGATTGTAGAAGATTTCCAAAAGGACGGGCTCGCATACCAAGGTGACTAATAAATCAGCGATCGCTAGGCTGAACAGAAGGTAGTTTGAAGTTCGGCGTAGGAGAGGGTGAGTGGCAATGGCAAAACAAAGGAGTAAGTTCCCAAACGATCCCAATATGCACACCATAGCGTTGACTGTGATCAGTGCAATACCATGGGCCATGGGAAGAGAACAATTCTTGGCGTTTTCCAATGATTTGTTCATGTTCTGTTATGGTCTGGTGCACTATGCGGTGTAAAATCAGGATAACTTTGTCTAAGCTCGAGTGAATGGGAAAAACTCGCAACTAAGATATCAAAAAAATATGTTTACCTCGCCGAGTCAGACGTATTGGACTTATTTTGACTCGGATAAACCTATAAATAGTCTACTGACGTGAGCCAGAAATAGACATTCTGAAGCTCTTATACTGCGATAACAATAACCAGATAAGTCAGATTGGCAGCCGTAGCTGCAAATGTTAGCCCTCTAACAAGCTTTCTTGCAATAATAAAATACTGCAAAAGTTTTTAATCTTTGTCACCCAGACCATGGCACTTACCTGAAGATATGATCAAATGAATGTCGAAAGAATTAGTATGATGTGATCGAGCTAAGGCAACGAAACCAGGCCGTATCTTCAGCATCAGGGTAACAAGGGTGGCGCATTGCTTAGAGCAATCTCCTCACACCAGTGTGGTTCGGGTTCAAATCTTGGCGTCGACGCCATTTGTGGGTTGAGTTTGTTGTAAGTTCTCTCCTTTGCTACGAGAGGTGTTTCTCCGGGTACTTCGATTTTCCCGTCTCCTCAAAAACCAACATTTCTAAATACCAATTTGTCCAGGAATCAGATAGAAGAAGAACCTCTAAAAGGATGCGTTACCTCTAAATCAGTATTTTATTTATTTATTTATTTATTTATTCGACATCATCATCATTATTGCAAATGCTGTAGCTGTTGTTGCAAGGTTGTCGTTGTTGTTAAAATCTCCACCATTATTATCAAGATATTGTATTGTTTTAGTAATTTGAAGTCCAGCCTTATTCACTTACAAATCTGCTCAGGTCAAGATCAAATCACTTGTGTTGCGTCATTTCACCTGTCAGTGATACTGTGCTAAATAGGCCATTTTAAAGTTATGGGCTGAGTGTCCTAGCCTTTGAGTGAATGTGAGGCTGAGGTTGCCCTTGTTTTGATGAAACCTCTTTCCTTTTCTAATGTAAATTTTGCTGGAAACTACTAGTTAGCATAAAAAAAACATGATGTACATAATAAAGCAGGAAGGGTTCTATCAAACAAGGTTAACTCCAGCCTTGTTTCCACCTGTAACTGTAAAATGGGCTATTCTACGACGCCATGTCCCCTGAACAATAGATCGTTTTCACTGTCACGCAACAAAAAATTATATTGGAAACCGTCCAGTGGAAGAAGCCAAGAAAATGAAATGTTGTAAAAGACTAAAATATATAAACAATTTGTCCAAGTCTCAGATCTTTGTGGCCCATAGTTTATGAGTTATTTGCCGAAGGCGTTTCACGCACCTTTGTACAGCTTTCTATGGAGACGTCATATTGGAACACCGTTTTGGTGCACCAATATGACCGCCGGAAATGAACAAAAACATCTGGAGTTCACTTTTTCTATAAAAGTTCTTTCTACAACGCGACATATGTGCATTGAAGAACAGAGACCTATAGATTCGTGGACGAGAAGGACTACGAGGACGAGATTTGACTTGCGGCGTATTCTTAAAAGTAAGACAACCCGTAAAGCTTCAGTGTACCTTTTTCACTAGAAAATTTAGCACTGTTATCTTTATTGTAGGAGGTGAAGCCCTCTCCCGATGGCAAAATTGCAAGACTTCTAACATTAAATAACTTGTTTCCGCCACCACAACATTCTCACTAAAACCTGTAGTAGAATGACGACGGCTATGACGTTTTCCCGCCAAAATTACGGTGGCTCACCTGGGAGCACCAGTTAGTATTGAGAAAATCTCGTACTCGTCTTAGAATCCAAAGGTTTTTATTATACATTTGAACGAAACACACTATTTTTCTATAAACGGATGAAGTGACATTTCGTCGTCGTAGCCCGGTGGCTAGTATTAATGTCAAAATTTGCATAGCAGTGTTGTGTTTTAGAGTTTGAAAGGTTTTCATCGCCTTTTACTTAAAATCTGACCAGTCTGTACATTTAACTTAATTTTCATATGATTACTTCCGCATTCGTCAAAGAAAGTCGTGGTCTTGAACGAAAGCAAGCAGGTTTAGGTGGACAAAATCCTAACGGCCCTGTCTTTTTGTTTTCAACGGTAGTTTGAGCAGCGGCCAAGAGGTTAGGAAATAAGACTAGTTTTTATTTTTTGAAGTAGATAATGTCGGGAAAACATTAGTGATTTCGTTGAGGACAAAGTGTCTCACAGATTGCAGCTGGATATTTGCAAGAGATATTTGGCAATAATCAAGGGAGTCGTTGTGTAAACACCTTTATGTAAACTAAATCCATGGAAAGGAATCTTTCGTTAAGGACTCAGGACACAACTGGATTTTTTTGTTAATAACCCGGTTACCGTTTGCCAATTATAGAACCTCGATGCGGGCCTTAAAAATTCAACCGAAGGGAAATTCGCAGACATTTGAAAAAATGCGCGAAGCTAAATAAACGTGATGAAGTTTGAGGGAAAAGCAAATGCATTTTGTCATTAACGTTTTAACTGCCTTTAAGTTATCGCCGTGGTTGCATGCTTAATATGAGGTCCCTAATATTTAACAACGAATATTTCCAGTCGTTAACAATTCTCCAAGTATTCCTTTATTTATAAACCAACACTACACGCTGAACGTTTACCACATGTATAGATGACAGTTTCGCCTTACAAAAATTAACCATTAGGATCAACTGCGACTTCATACAGTAGTTTTTAATTTTTTCAAAAAGTAGCAAAAAGTCAACAGCTCTACAAGTTGAGCATCTTTCGAAAGATATCAACGTATGCCTCTTTGAAGTCTCGGATTTCAGCAGAATAAATCAGAAAGTTCATGGCTGAGTTTGACAGAGCCAGGGTTCCTGGCCACATGTCCAAAGGGCCGCCCTGCCTTATAAGTGGTTTTCTAGTCATTGTGGCAAACATTACAGTTATCGAGGGAACCCAACAAGCGGTGGAAATACCGATTGCTATAGCCAGCGTACAAGAAACACGAACCTCCATGCGGGAATTCAGTTTCACAGAAACGTTTCGAGTTCTGCTGAGTTGCTTTCTTTTCCTCTTGTAACGCAGCAGAAATACCACGATCAGAAAGTAGAAAAAGAAAATAAAGAAATAGCTGAAGGCACAGGTTCCCAAAAAGAGAAACGTGGCCGCTGAATAAAAAGCCGACGGAATGACACGCCACAAAACGTTAAGAAGAATCAACTGAAAAAATCGGAATTGAGCAGGATACTATAAGCATGACCTTAAGTCCATGAAGTTTTTGTGTCTGAGTGGGAACACAACGGCAACAAATCGATCGAGACTGATAGCCACCATATGTAACACTGAGGTGGCACAGGAAAGATACGTTAAAATGAAGTACGCAAGGGACAGGCTCACTTTACAATCGTACAAGAATGTTCTCTGGATGATAAATTCCATAAAGAGTGGCTCACATATCAAAGTGACGATTAGATCTGCGATCGCTAAGCTGAATAGAAGGTAGCTGGAGGCTCGGCGTGGGTGAGAATTTGTAGCAATGGCCAAACAAACAAGCAAGTTTCCAAGTGATTCCAAAACGCAGCGATATCGTTGATTGTGATCAGCGCAATACCATGAGCCATAGGAAAAAAACCATGTTCTTGGATGATTCATTCATGCTGTCGTCTGGACTGATGTACTATACGGCTTAAAACCAGCATTAAGTTCCCCCTTTCCTTCAAGGCTTTAGAACATAGATGAAGTTTGAAGTAAGAAATAAATAATATTGGTTTAGCCCGCCCATTTCAGACGTTGTCAGACTTATTGTGACGTAAAAGAACCTAATTTAGGCTAGGGACGTGATACACTTTAAAGCCAGATATAGATATTCTGAAACTCGTATACTGCGAAAACAATCAGATAAGTCAGATTGACAGCCACAACTGCAAATATTGAACCTGCTGGTAATATATCTTTTAGTGATAAATGCACGTCTCCTGTGCATGTTCTTAGAGCATAGTATACCTGACTAATTCAGACCATGGCCAATCCGAAATTCAAATCAAATTAAACGTCGAATACACTAACTAACAGGCTCATTACTGGTCTAACTAGGTGACGCATTGTCATCATCACTATGACTACTTTACTTGTTGTTCTTCTTGTTGTTGTTGTTGATGACATCCCATCGTTTTAGTTAAGATCACGTATTGTTTTGGAATTTTTAAAAGTTAAAGCTAAATAGAATCAATGCATGACTTTTTCGCTAATATCTCTGATCAGGTCAAAATTAAATCACTAGTAAGAGTTGCATCATTACACTGAGCTGAAAGTGATGTTCACCTTTACGCAGCGGCAAGTTTGCAATTATGAGAGCATATTTAGGCTGTTTTTACAGTACTGTACCTGATAGCTTTCCGGTACGGTAGTATGAACAGCAACTGCACAGAACTGCAGCAAATAGTTCATACGCATAGTACACATCGAACGTCGTGCCGGGGCGGTTGGCCGAGAGCCTTTGGTTTCTTTAACCGCAATCCTGACACTCCCGAATATTTACTTCCGTCTAAATGGGTTCCAGTTGTCTTTCAAACTTATTCACTTTCGCTAAGGTCCGAACATCTGTTCACACTACACCATAGTGCGGCACAGAACCAAACTGGTGTGTGAACAGAAGCCTTATTTGGTATGATTTTCGTGCCGGCGCAAAAGTTAACCAGTAGCGCAACAGCTTTCCGGTATAGGCGAATCCTTGTATACATTTTTTCCTCATTAGCATAGGCTTATCATTACCTGATGAAGCTAATAAAATGAAATTTTGAATGAAAGAGCTTAACAATTTCAGTTGTCGCTGAAAAGTTGAGCCCGATATACCAATTAGTTTCGTAGAAATTCTCTTTGAAAAACCCCAGTTTTCGCCACCCAGTAATTTAGCAGTTTATAATTGCTGTTATTTTCTTTGTTACTGATTGAAAAGAACTAAAAATTGCACAAACTGCATAGGTTGACCAGCTCTTTTAAATTTTGATCCTAAATGGTAAATACAGCTACATCTTCTATAGGTTAACTCGTATGCTAAGGCCCGGTTCAGACGCCGCTCCACTCATGTGCCGAACCTAACTGATGAATTAAGTACGGCAAAAGAGCGGCGTCTGAATAAATTTGGTACTGCAGTTTTAGTTTGGTGCGGCAAAAGCGTTAAGTTCGACAGAGTCTGTCGAACTTTTGTCGAACTTAACTTAGGTTCGACACACGGTACGCCATCTGAATCAGATGTTGCGCCAGTGTCGCTCTAAAGTCCAACTTATTCAGTTAGGTTCGGCACATGAGAAGCACGGCGTATGAACCAGCCCTAAGATCACGTACTGTTTTAGTTATTTATGGCATTTAACTAAAATCTTTTCAGTTCAATCTAAAGTCACTTGAGTTGCATCATTGCACTTGCGAGTGATACTGTGTTTTCCTCTTCACATAGGAACAACTTTACAATAATCATTGAAATTTGATGTCATTTCAATCCATACATGGCTGTGTGGTTTCTGATTTATAAAACGTTTTATAGTCAGTCTGGAAAAGCTTTAAACGGAAACTTTTACAGTCAGAGTTCCCGCTTTCAACTATATAATTATGATACAGCTCCAACTCCCATGAAGTCGTTTCAGTTAGGGGAGGTTTCTTTACTACAATCCAAATCCTGATTTTAATTCGAAAACGGATATTTCGTATCTTTGCTAAAATCCAAAAAACGAAGGTGAGTTCTTTGTATGATATCCAAAACCGGATACTTTGGGTACATGAACCGAAGCGTTTCTTTACGGATCACAAAACAGTGAATACTGCCAGCGCTAACTTGAAAAAATTTTAATACAAACATCAACTGTTTCACACTGATCATCTTTTTGGCCATTTTGAACCCGAGGCATGGATTAAACAGCAGCCGTATTATTCTTTCTCGTGGATACCTTCGATTGTGGGGTCGTGTATGGAAATAGATGAAAAATAATTCCTTTTTGGATGCATCATTTCTTTTCTTAATGAAAAATTCTAATGATCCGGATCTTGTTTATCTCATCTTGGATTTTAGTAAAGAAACGCACCCTTAGTCATATGGTTACACCGAAGGCAAGGCCTTCACTTGTTCATTATGTACCTCATCCATAATCTGCAAATTATAACCGACTTTAAGTTCAATAGTTCGTGCAGGGATAAAATTTTCCTTTGGTGTGCCATATGAGTATGCTAAGAATAACAAGACGGTCATTTTTCCATCCACTGCCACGCAAGTTTTAAGCATATATGCCTTCAACCTATACCATGGACACAAAACGACCATTTTCTCCCAAACAATGCTTTAGGATGACTAATTTCGACTTCAACTTTGGAGAGGTTTTTCAGTTGTTAAAACTTTAGCAAACGTCGAGCACTCTACAAGCGGAGCATCTTCCGTAAGATACCAACGTAAGCATTTCTGAAGTCCCGCATTTTAGCAGAGTAAATCAGAAAGTTCATGGCTGAGTTTGACAGAGCCAGAGTTCGGAGCCACATGAGTAGATGAATGTTCCGTTTTACTAAAGGTTTTCCCGTGCAAAAACCCATTGCAATTATCAGAGGAATTCAGCAAGCAGTGAACGTGCCCATTGCTACCGCCAGTGTGTGAGCAACACGCACCTCCATTCGGGAAGTAAATTTCACAGAAACTGTTCGAGTCCCTAGCTGTTTTCTTGTCTTCCTGTGGTGGAGCAAAAATGCCACGATCAGAAAGTAGAAAAAGAAAATAAAGAAATAGCTGACGGCAAAGGTTGTCATTCTCAGAAATTTAGTGAATGAGCCGGTAAAAAGAGAGCGCGGAACGATGTACCTTAAAGCGGGAGCAAGAATCGGAATAGACCATGATAGTGTGAGCATAACTTTAAGTCCACATTCCTCGATGAATTTTCTGTGTCGCAGTGGAAACACAACGGCAACGAAACGATCAAGACTGATTGCGACCATATGCAAAACAGAGGTGGTACATGAAAGATGGAATGAAATTAAGTACGCAACGTGCACGCTCGCTGCGCACTCGTGTAAGAATGCCATCCAGCTGATGACTCCCAAAAGGAGAGGCTCGCATATCAAAGTGACGATTAGATCAGCGATCGCCAAGCTGAATAAAAGGTAGTAAGAGGCTCGGCGTAAGCGGGAATTTGTAGCAATGGCCAAACAAACGAGTAAGTTTCCAAGTGATCCCAAAACGCAGATGATACCGTTGATTGTGATCAGTGCAATACCATGAGCCATGGAAAGGGAACAGCTGTTTGCTTTCTCAGACGATTCATTCATGTTGTCGTCTGAACTGATTTACTGCACGGCGAAAAATCAGGATTAAGACTCCCTTTTCGTCCAACACACTTATGAGCCTTCCTAGGCGTTATGAAACTTATGTTGACGCAGAAGATCCTATATACAGCTATTTCCAGAAAGGTTGTCGGAAAAAAATATGCACGCGACATTCTGAAAGGCAATATGGGATATGATCAGTACGCTGTTCCTGACACTGTAGCTGTTGAAACTTCTATTGTTGCTTTCCTTTAGCATTCGCAAACATACGTCCATGGCCTCTCGTGCCATTGAGGAACAAAGAACTCAAAACCACCCACAATACCTTTCGGGGTTGTCGCGTGCACTTTTTCCGACAACCTTTCTCGAAAGGGCTGTATAAGTCCTGAAGACATAAGCTATTGAAGCCAAATATAGACTTTCTGAAACTCTTTTACTATGATGATATTAAGAGCCAGTAATCAGATGAGACAGATTGACAGCCATATTAGCCTGCTAGCAATATTTCTTCCAGAGACAAATGCAAATCCACACTCCATGATGTTTCTTTACCTGAGCATGTGCTCTTAAAAAAAGCAATTGATTTACAGTGACCAGTCCGGGCGGGATGGTCATGCAGTTATTATTGCTTTCTGCATTTCGATTTTATTCCGGAAAAGAAGCGACCGGGTTAAGGTGGAAAAATCCAAACTGACCTGCTTACGCGCAAGTCCAAGGGTCAAAATGACACCTTAATCTTTGGTTGTTCTTTCCTAAGGGTAGCTTGGATAGCATACCAATTTTTAGGGAGAGTGGGAGGCGGGAGGTGGGCTTTCTACTTAGTGATTGCAAGAGAGGATGGTCTTTGGAAATCAAACAGTCGTGTCAGGAAATAGTGGGAAATGAGGTTGAGTACAAGGTGTCTCATAAATAGTTTTTTTGCCGATTGTAGCTATAGACACTTCGTTACTGACTAAGAAGCTGGAGACTTCCTTTGCTAAGAAGAGGGATCATTTCTCTCTCCCTTTTCTCGTCTGCTCACGGTTATGATTATTAATTCAAATTAGATGCTACACTCTTGTTTCATCGTGCTTGACGCGCTTGAAACTACTGTAGTTTCTAAAATCGAACGGAGAGACCGCCACTGGTCTGACTCCCAAATCCCTTCTACATTGACCAAGAGAGACACAAACACACACTTACAACATATCGTTTATATAGCCGACTACGTTTAATATTATGCACACAGGCTGCGGTCAGCCGGGCGTTAAGATCTGGAAGCTTAGGCCATGATTGCTGTCCAAAAAAAAAAACTATAATCTGAGTGAGTGTTTCTTACTACTATACAGGATCCAGCTACCGTCCTACCGTCATGAATTCAATTCCATTAGCAATCAGTGATGGGTATATTATACATTAGGCACAGCCTTCTTTGATTAGGGTCCTGAGTCTTAAAACGCCGGGAATTTCCCAATTTAGCGCTTTGAAGAGGGTGTCTTCTTGTACCGGAATCCTTTAAAAGAGTGTGAAATTGGCGAGGAGTGGTCTACATCTGAGGTACCAACAATTTTGTCTCAAAAAATCCAATTCCATGAGGTTAGTTTTAAAAAGTCTGGAAATTACTTTATTTTGTATGCAAAACGAAACGAATCAGGGTAATAGGATAAGGATAGGGTAGCAAAATGAAGTCACAACATTTTGTTTGGCTTTGAAAACAGGGTCCTGGTGTGAAGGCGTTGGCGGCACACCTCTACTCTAACTTTCCTAGAGGTACTCCCCTTCGAGGGCTCTCCCTATCCTTCCCGAAATTCCTAGCTGCTACTAGGGGAACTTTCTCAAGATATTAACCAAATCTGGTGATTAAAGCGTGAAAGTCCCTACTTCAGAAAATTGTAGGGAAGTAGAGTGTACTACAGCTCCGAAAAAGCTCGGAAATGCAGCATGCAAACACCTTATGCCCTATTAACAAGCAACTAAACATGTTTAACTAAACCGGGTTTTACAGTACAGGATTCATATAAAATTCACCATGTCTTGTAATTTGCACTAAGTTTGCAATTAACCTAAGTTAGTAAGCAGCCCATTCTTTTATAAAGGAAACAATTTTAAACCGTGTTTAAGCAAATAGCTTTTAAACATGTTTAAGCTTAGGTGTGAATGGGGCGCTAGAAAAGTTTGTGTCTTCTTTTTCATTCTTTGGAGATTTTCAGATAATATTTACTCCCTTAAGCAGATCTTTTACACTTCGGCAGAGAATAATTCGTCTGGTGCTCCTGTCTGACGTCGGTTTATTGCCAAAATGCAGTTTCTTAAACAACTGGCGTGATTGTGAGACCGGCTTCTCCTTTGAAATAGTAATGCCAGGCAGAAAAAAAATTACTGAGACTTCACGCTTCTAAAACACTGCAATAACCTTTTCATGAAGAGTAGAACTGCTCACAAGTTCAGCTTCCTAAAACTTTCTGAGTTCTTGAAACCGTAGTAAAAGTCGAGACCTCTACAGGCGGAGCATCTTTCGAAAAATATCAACATATGCCTCTTTGAAGTCCCGGATTTTAGCAGAGTAGATCAGAAAGCTCATGGCTGAGTTGGACAGACCTAGGGTTCGGAGCCACATGAGTAGAGAGCAGTTTCGCTTTATAATTGTGTCATATTTTGGTGCAGTGTTAACATCTATTCGGACTGTCGCGGAAGTAAATGAGTAGGATCGAGGACTGGAAACCATTGAAAAGGAAGTAAAATTAAGACGTAATCCATCAGGAAATTGAGTAATTTCAATTTTCAATGGACAAAAACCCTCTACCAGAATAATTTAAACAATATCGCATTCTCTTTTACATTTTTCAAGGGTTATAGATATAATTAGTTATCTGTGATAACGCCAAAGGTAATTTCTTACGAGAGCTTGTAGAAAATAGACGTCACATTTCACAAGAATTATGAAAACACAGGTAAAATTCTGAAAATTTCACTGTGTAAGGTGTCATTTTGTGAAATTGGACATTTGTTTTCTTGGGCTCTCATAAGAAATTTTCTTTGGTGTTATTGAAAATCTTTCAGACAAAGATATACTGTTTGGTATTATTGGATGTGAGGACGAGATATTTTATTACTGGCAAAACAATATCTATACTCTTGTAGACAGAGCAAATATTCTCCCTCCATTGGAGTTCTTAATTCCAAAATTAATACTGTTTTCTTAATCGAGACAATGATCTCTAAGTCAAACAATAAGTTGGAGACCTACAATATGAAATAGAGCAAATATAAATCTGATTAGTATACGATCCTTTCGCCGCTTACTTCATTTTTTATTGATCTTTATTACTTTTTTTTCCATGTAAATAGACAAGAAGGTACTGCGGTGTGTTTCTTTTTTGTCAGTATGTAATTGTGTGTAAGTCTGCGATGTATATATGTTTAGTTTTCTATTCCTTTTTTTGTATTTTTCCTACGTGTTCATAAGTCAGTATGTAAAAAAATGTAATATATAACGAAACAAAAATTTATTAAAATACCAAAAAAAACAAAAAAAATTGTGTGAGCGACTTGTGCCGCCCCGGGCCGTTTCTTTTCATACTATACATGATAGCTTTCTGTAGCGCCACCAAAAGTGGCCCAGTAAAGTTTGAACATAGCTTATTGTAAGTGACAAAATGATACCTAGCTTGGAAACAGCACATCAATATTTTATAGCGAGGGTGGGGGCGGGAGGTGGGCTTTCTACTTAGTGTTTGCAAGAGGGAATGGTCTTTGAACAGTAGACAGTAGTGTTGGGAAATAGAGAGAAATGACGTTGAGGACAAGGTGTCTCATAAATATTTTTTTTGCCGATTGAAGCTGGACTCTTCGTTTTACTAAGAAACTGGACACTTCCTTTGCGAAGAAGAGGGACCATTTCTCTCTCCGACCCTTCTCTTTTCTGCTCACAGGAAAATCTTATGACTATTACTTCAAATTAGATAACTACACTCCTGTTTCAGTCCTGCTTTACGCACTTGAAACTATTGTTGTTTTTAAAATCGAACGGAGATACCATCTCTGGTCTCCCTTCTAAAGCGAACAAAAGAAAGACACAGACACACAACACTAAATCATATCATTTTTATTTATTAAACTATGTTTGAAGAGTAAATCTACCAGATAAAAAAAAAGCAATTGAAATCAAATGAATGAAGGCACGAATAGCTTGCCCCGCCAGAGATTTAGAGGCTTTACACATTTTGGCCAGAAACGACTGCTACGTCAAGGCGCTTATGTAGAAGATCAATTCGCCAACAGAAACTTCTAAGTTGACGGCATAATATGGTCAGTTAAGCCTGGATCAGACGTCTCCTATTTGAATTTCTTTAACTGCTTTACATCTCCATGAACACAGGCCTGGGTTAGCCCGGCCAGAATTGTTCAGGCCAAAAATCATCCATTTAAGTCTGTTTTCGTTACTATCAGATGATCCAGTCCATTCCTCATGAATTCAGTTCCAGAAGTGATGTAGACGTATAGTACATTAAAAGGTTTTACTACAGACTTATTTCCAGTTTATTTATATATATATATTTTTTATCCAGCAGTAAATAATTCTTAAACAATATCGGCCAACCTTTTCCATAAGCACCCAACGACGCGGTCTTCTCTCAAAAAATGCTTTAAAAAGCTATTATCGAGAATGGTTTTAATTAAGCTCTACAAGTGCATTCTGAGGGGCCCTATAAGTCTCTCAGTTAACTGTCTAGTCGTGCTAGAACAAATTTAGGCTCTTGGAACTTAGGTACATGTACCAGGGCTTCCTCTATCCTTTCCCGAAAATCCTATGGATACTGTTAGGATGCTTTGCGATCATTTCGCTCCGGTTACTTAGCCGCTCCGTATTTTAGAACGAGGAATATTATACTTTATTAAAAACTGAATCATTGGATGATGCAATTCTAGCATTTTGATTGGCTTAGCCGTTATGGTATATGAGCTATTATACCATGCTCTCCGTATATGGTCCGTGTACGCGTCAGTTTAAAATTGGAAGCTAGCTGAGTTTTTTTTTCGCAAAGGATAGAACGGCGCCCGAAGCAATCGTTTTAATTCATTTCTTAGAATACTTGAAACGCAATTTCATCGAAAGAAAAAAGACAAAAACAAACAAAAAAGTCACAAGAGTTTGTTTGAAAGTTTGTGGAAAAACACATGAAAGCACATGGAACTAAAGTACCTTGACCAGCTACGAAAGAAGACAAGTGTTGTTTCTTCATGATCGCGAAGCCATTCGCCGATCGAGTCACTCGGCGGTAGATAACTGCGGCTTGTTTATCCGACATCAAGAATATAAATCACAAGTTACCAGCTACAAATACAGGCTATGCAGCCATTCACTAGAGAAATCGAGGCTGCAGTATAGCTTCTTTTCTCGTTCAGCAAAACCAGCTTGTGGCTTCAAAAAACTTCATAACAAGCGACCGAGGTAATAGTTTTTCTCCGCTGTTCTTACTTTTATAACTGCACCGAAAATCCAAATTCACAGTAATTTCGACGCCTGTCACTTAAAAATTCTTTTCCTTCGCATTATCTACCAGGTTTTTTTAGCTGTTCTGCTGTGTAAAATCCTAGAATCCAGATGAGTTTTTAAAAAACTGATGTTCATCGCTATAATGTTTTGATTTTTCATTCATGCAGACCAGGCGAGTCCGTTCGCGCGTTGACAGTTTTGATAGACCCGTGACATGTGAATAGCGCAAGTCCCTTGTCTTTTCCGGTTTGTTCTAGTCGGGGAGATTCAACGAGATTTTGTGGGCGTTTTTAATAAAACAATTATTCCACTCGCGCTTGTTGGATATGAGATGATTATAGCCAACTCGGCGCCACGCGCCTCGTTGGCTATCTATCATCTCATATCCAACGCGCCCTCGTGGAATAATTGTTAAGTATAAGCTTACTTGTTTTGCTTTACGGCTTATAGAACGAGGGACATTTATATTTGGAACGCGCTAAATGACTCGAAAATAGGGGGCTAAGTAACCGGGTCGAAATGACCGGTTACCGTTAGGGTCCTTTCTCAAGATAATAGCCAAATGTGGTGTGATTAAAGCGTGAAAAAAAGTACTTCAGAAAATCGTAGCGAACTGCAGAATAGAACGGCTCCTAAAAGGCTCGGAAATAAAACAAACGCCTAGAAACGTTTCTGTCTTTCTTTTCTTTCTTTCGACCTTTTTGGGCAACATTTACTCTCTCAAGCAGACATTTTACACTTCGGAAGGGAATAATTCGTCTGGTGCCCGTGGTTGACGTGGGTTCATTTCCAGAGTGCAGTTTCTTGAACTGCTAACGTGGTTGTGAGACCGGCTTCTCCCTTGAGACTTCACGTTGATAAATCACTAAAAAATACTCTTTTTCATAATGATTAGGACTGCTCACAAGTTCAGCTTCCTAAAACTTTCTGAGTTCTTGAAACCGTAGTAAAACTCGTGACCTCTACAGGCGGAGCATCTTTCGAAAAATATAAACGTATGCCTCTTTGAAGTCCCGGATTTTAGCAGAGTAGATCAGAAAGTTCATGGCTGAGTTGGACAGAGCTAGGGTTCGGAGCCACATGAGTAGAGAGCCGTTTCGATTTATAATTAGTTTTCCAGCGGCAAAGAATACAGTCATCAGAGGAACCCAACAAGCCGTAAAAACGCCAATTGCGATAGCCAGTGTGCAAGCAACACGGACCTCCCTGCTGGAAGTCACTTTCACAGAAAGTGTTCGGACACCTAGTTGCTTTCTTTTCTTTTTGTAGTGGATCAGAAATACCACGATTAGAAAATAGAAAAAGAAAATAAAGAAATAACTCAAGGCAAAAACTCCCAATCCAAAAAAATGGCCAGGATAGGAGACCGGCGGAACGATGGCCCTCAAAACGCGCCCAAGAATCGGGATTGACCAGGATATTATAAGCATAAGCTTTAGTCCACATCCCTCGATGAAGTTTCTGTGTCGCAGGGGAAATACAACGGCAACGAATCGATCAAAACTGATTGCAACCATATGATAGACTGAAGTGCTGCATGAAATCTGGGATAAAATGGAGTACGTAAGCTGCAGCCACTCTGTGCACTCATGGAAGAATGTCCTCTGGATTATTACTTTCAAAAGTAGTGGCTCGCATACCAAAGTTACGATTAGATCAGCGATCGCTAAACTAAATAAAAGGTAGTTTGAGGCTCGGCGTAGGCGAGAGTTTGTAGCAATGGCCAAACAAACAAGGAGGTTTCCAAGTGATCCCAGAACGCATATGATAACATTGATTGCGATCAGTGGAATACCATGGGCCATAGGAAAAGAACAACTGTTTGCGTTCTCCAATGATTCATTCATGTTTTCGTCTGGCCTGATGCACTGCACGGGCGAAAAATCAGGATTAAGGTCCCTTTTGCGTCCAACATTTAGCAGATGTGAATTGGAAAAAAGCTGGAAGGAAGGTATAAATAAATTTGTTAAAGGCCCACTTTGATATTTCAGATCTATTTTGACGCAGAAGAACCTATATTTAGTCCTACGACGTAAGCCAGAAATAAACACTCTTTCAATATGCTATGATAACAATAATCAGATACGTGAGGTTGGCAGCCATAACAGCAAATACTTGCCTGCTAGCAATATATCTTTTAGTAATAAATGCAAATACATACTGCATGTTGTTAGTTTACCTGGGTAATCCAGACTATAGTTAATATGAAGACGTGAATTAAATGTCGAAAAAAGATAACTAATGAAGAAGCTGTTGGCCAGTTTAGCTAGGTTATTACTAAGTTGTTGTTGTTGCAGACCCCATTTTCTGTATTAAAAAAATTGTATCGTGTTTGTGAAGTTTAGCCTTAATCGATTCAGTGTACGCCTTCTGAACTAATATCTACTCAGGCCAATATCATATCACTTGATTTGCATCATCATATCGGCGAGTGACATCCACCTTTACACGAAAAGAAGTTTAAAAATCATTTAGCAAAACATTGTCACTGAAAAGATCATTGCAATTTAATTTCAAAATAAGCGTGGCTGTGTAGTTTCACTTTTAGAGTTAAGCACTCTGGTCTTCAAAAGAGATATCTATAAATTGACCAGTCCAAATGGTCAGTTAATTTTTCTGTTCTTCTTCTTAATTTTTCATGAATTAGCATTAGTCACAGACGAACGAAAATTCTATAAAATGGAAGCAAGCAGGTTAAGGTTGACGAAATCCAGAATGGTGTGTGTTAAATGCGCGCATATGCAAGCGTAACATACGGTGACAAAACAAATGGGGTATATCTTTAGGACAGCAAAGCAAACTGGGCGTAGCTTAATTGAACAGCGGCACAATATTATTCACAGAGTAGAGCAGGGAGAGTTGGCTTTTAACTTTCTCTTTGTGGAGTAGATAGTGTCGGCAAAACGTAAAAAAATGCCGTTGACGTCTTATAAATAACTTTGTCGTCGATTGTGACGAAACACTTTGCTATGTGCTAAGACGCAGACAGGACACTTTCTTTGCTAAGAAGACTGATCCTCCCCCTTCTCTCTTCTGCTCCCGAGTATATATAGATTATGGTTCTTACTTAACTGACTGAGCACTACACCCTAGTTTCTGTCGTGAGTGAAGCGCTTGAAACTATTGTGCTTTTTAGAATCGAACGGAGATATAATCTCCAGCCTGGCAGCCGAATCCCTTCTAAAACGACCAAAAAGAGACAGACAGACAGGTAATTCACTTGGTTTTTATTGCAATATGTTTTAGGGTATATCAACGAGGTAGGAAATTCCACCAATGTTCAAGCGTTACCGATTTCTTCCACGTTTGTTTATACAAATCATTTGCCTATAAAACAACTGCTTCGTCGAGAAGCTTATGTAGACACTTACTCACCAATTTCGAAATTGACAAGATCGTGGTCAATCCTGAACGAGGCCACGTATAATATGGTGGAAATGCAACGACAAGGAAACGATCAATACTGACTGTAACCAAATGTAAGTAAGAAGTCTGGCGTGAAAGACCGACTAAAACGTGGTACACAAGTTGTTTATTGCTCGTTCTTCACTCGTGGAAGAATGTCAGGAGACTAATGAAGTCCAGAACAATTGGCTTACATATCAAGCTGTCGATTAGATTAGTGATTGCTAAGCTGAACCGGAAGGGAGTTGGAAGATCGGCGTTGGCGGGAATTTGTAGCAATAGCCAAACAAACAAGGAAGTTTCCAGGTGATCCCAAAACGCCCACGATAGCGTTGACTGTGAGCAGTGGAATACTATGAGCCAATGGAAGAGAACAACTTATTGCGTCTGCCCATGAAACGTTCATGTTGTGGGGTTTAGTTTATGATGGTGTTATGGACGTCTCAAATGTAGCATTTAGCTCTTCGGCCGTATTATTATTAGCTGAGCTCCACGCGGCGAAGCGGAGCACCATGGGTAAGAAAATTTGGTAATCTACCCATCCTTGAAATTTTGGTAATCACGTGACCGTACACCCGACCAATCGTTCGTCCGCACCACAGGTATACCAAAGTTTACTCCCACACTTTCTAACTACTTTGGGAGCTGAGGGAGCCCAGGAGAAAACTGATTTGTTGTGATTAATTGACAGCTGTCAAAACAAGGTATCCGCTGACCAATATCACCTGACCGTATTGTGGGCTCTGGTGTCGACCCATCCAGGACGAGTATTTTTTGAAGTTATCCGCTGACAAGTTACTAGTATTCAAATGATCGCAGGCTCAAGTTTTTTTAAATTCATATGAAATATGTTGTGCTTATGTCACTATGGCCCCACGCTATTAGCATTTTGATTTCAAACTGACCTCAGACACGAAAATTCAACCAGTTATTTAAAAGTAAAAGCAGGGAAGACAGATGCTTTTCACTTCCCTCACCATATTCACGCGTTGGTTACGCTCTACGTCCAATTATGAAGCTCTGATTGGTCAAAATTTGACAGGTGAGTTCATGCCGAAAATTTATACAGCATCTTGAAACTTGTTTACTTTGACAGCTTAAGCTGACAGAGTTTTTTTTGCCAAATTGTGATGTTTTTGACTACCTTTTTTTACTGGATACACAAAATGAAATACAGCTGCTATCAAGATAGAGAGTCTTCTGTTATTCATGGCTGGTTTGTTTCTTGAATTTTTGGTTGAGAAATGCGCCGCTTGTCACAGTCGGAAATCCGTTTTCGGATGGCATCGTTTTCGTTCACCATGCTGGATGCGGATTGAAAAAGTCTCAAGCGATTCTGGCCTTACTTGATAGCTTTCAGGAGCTGCATCTCGAATGGTAATCCTGAGTGATTATTGTATTTGTGTTTGTTTGTTTTTTATTTCTAATTTCATGAAGTCGAGCGCAGTTTATTAGGCTAGTTTATGCTCGTTTGTATAAAGATTTGAGACAATGATCTGACCTAGTATGAGGTTTAATTTTAACTTACAGAACTTTAAAAAGCCTTTAGTCGATATTTTCTCACCGCAAATAGAAAGAAAAAAAAGTTCCGAAGAGTCTTTAGTTATAATTTTGGCTGTAGAAAGAAAGCTTTGAGCGGTTTTCTTGCCTCGAGTTCATCTTTGAAAACAGTAAACACGGGGAAGCCGGCTTAAAACATAAACTTAAGCAGTTTAAGCTTGAAGATTTTTAGAGACTCTTTAATACTTGTCTTCGTGAATGAAAATTGTTGTCTCTGTAAATGTTTCACCGAATTATATTTCTTTTATTGATTTTCAGTAGTCTCTTGCCATATTAGCCCGCTAGCAATATATCTTCCAGAGACAAATGCAAATCCACACTACATGTTGTTACTTTACCTGAGCATGTGCTCGTAAACAATAGCAATTTATTTGCAGTGACCATTCCGGATGGTCATGCAGTTATTGATGCTTTCTGCATTTCGATTTTATTCTGGAAATGAAGCGATCAGGTTAAGGTGGAAAAATCCAAATTGGCCTGCTTACTGGCAAGTACAAGCGTCAAAATGATACCTGAATGAATGAATGATAACTTTATTTATACATGGTTAAAAACATCACTCTAAGATGGAAAATTAATTAAGACGGAATCCATCAGGAAAATGAGTAATTTTATTGTTGAGTAATTGAGTAATTTTGATTTTCAGTGGACAAAAATCTTGTACCAGAATAATTTAAAGAATATTGCATTCTTTTTTACATTTTTCAAGGGCTAAAGATGTAATAAATCATCCGTAGTAACACCAAAGAAAATTTCTCATGGTAGTCCGTGGAGATAAATTTCACAGGAATTGTGATTATACAGTCAGTTAAAATTCTAAAAATTTCATGTGTAAGATGTAATTTTGTGAAATTCGACATTAATTTTCTCGAGCTCCCATAAGGAGTTTTTTTTGCATTGGTATTATACTACAGATGATTTATTACATCTTTAGCCCTTGAAAAATGTAATATGCAATATGCTTTATTCTGGTACAAGAATTTTGTCCACTGAAAATCAAAATTACTCAATGTCCTGGTGAATTCCGTCTTAACAATTCTCAAAAACTGTTTTACATATTTGCCGTGTAGGAGTACTGATAAGAAAACCATCTATGGGAACCTCTCTTAAAGAGACCTAGGAATTTGATGGACGCATTTCCTCAGGAAGATTGTTCCATAGAAGAGCGCCACTGTATGGTTTTGGGAGTATTAATTTTTTTCTTCGCGTTGTGAAAATAGTAATTCGGTGTTCTTGGCGCAAACAAATTACAGAGATAACCTGAGGCGAGATTATTAATGCACTTGTACATTAAATTAGCCTTTTGTTGAGCCCTTCTAACCAATAAATTGTCCCAACCAAGCGAGGTAAGAAGAAATCTGGAACTATTATCATAGCTAGATTTGGTGATAACTCTGATAGCACGATTTTGAAGTTTCTCACTAATGGGCCAAGCCATCCCATACAGCACTGCAATAATCGAAGTGTGGTTCGATAAGACCTTTGTATATTTTAATTGCAGTGTACATTAAAACAAATGGCCTGGCCCGCCTAAGGGCACTGATACCGGATGATACTTTTTTAGAGATTTCATGAATGTTGGCCTTCCACGAGAGATTTTCATCAATGATAAGCTTGAGAGATTTGCTTTGATTGCTTTGGGTTATTGGGACGCCGTCTATATGAATATTTATTGCGTAGTCATTTAAGGACTGTAGTTTCTGCCTCGAGCTAATAACCATAAACTCTGTTTTAAATTGGCGACATTGAATCCTAACGTATCAGCTTTGAGCCAGCGATAAATATATTTCAGGTCACTATTGATTTGGGACTCAAGATCAGGTAGAGCCGTGAGCTGCAGAAAAGGTAACATTAGTGTCGTCGGCATACATTCTAAGAGAGCCCACATTCAAACAATTTGGTAGATCATTTATATAGATCAAGAAAAGAAGAGGACCGATTATTGACCCTTGAGGTACGCCACAATTTAGAGGGCTCGCGCTAGATAGATGATTGTTTATATTACTCCTTTGTAACTTAATCTTTGGTTGTTCTTTCCTAAGGGTAGCTTAGATAGCACCCCAATTAATTTTTGGGGACAGTGGGAGGCGGGAGGTGGGCCTTCTACTTAGTGATTGCAAGAGAGGATGGTCTTTGGAAATTAAATAGTCGTGTCAGGAAATCGTGAGGTTGAGTACAAGGTGTCTCATAAATAGTTTTTTCGCCGATTATATCTAGACACTTAGCTATACTAAGAAGCTGGAGACTTCCTTTGCTAAGAAGAGGGATCATTTCTCTCTCCCTTCTCTCGTCTGCTCACAGTTATGATTATTACTTCAAATTAGATACCTACAGTCCTGCTTCATTCGTGCTTGACGCGCTTGACACTACTGTAGTTTTTAAAATCGAACGGAAAGACCGCTTCTGGTCTAGCGCCCAAATCCCTTCTAAATCGACCAAAGAAAAACACAGACACACAGCTAAGTCATATCGTTTATATTGCAGACTATGTTTAAGAGTATATCTACGAGATAAAAGGCAATTGAAATCAAATGATAAAACACGAATAGTTTGTCCCGCCCGCAATTTACAGGCATGAAATATTTTCTTTCACGCACACAAGCTACGGTCAGCCGGGCGTTCAGCTTTGGAAGCTTAGGCCATAATTGTTAAAACAACAACAACAACAACAAAAACTGAGTCAGTGTTTCTTACTGCTATATAAGATCCAGCTCCTACCTTCATGGATTCAATTCCATTATTAATCACTGATAGGAATATTTAACAATTAATCGCCCAAGGCGACTTGAATATCGGCGAATAGTCGCCGAGACGAAGTCGAGGCGACTCTTCCCCGATATTAGTATAATAACATCGATGATTATAATCATAGCGCTCTATTTTCGATAATCATCAATGTAATTATACTAAAATACATTAGGCATAGCCTTCTTTGATCAGGGTCTTTAGTCTTAAACAGGGTATAAAATTCCCAATTTAGAGTCTTGAAGAAGGTGTCTTCTTGGACCGGAATCCTTTAAAAGAGTGTGAAGATTGGCGAGAAGCGGTCTACATCTGTGGCACTAACAATTTTTTCTTAAAAAATCCAATTCCATGAGGTTATTTCGAAAAATTTTGGAAATTACTGAATTCTGCATGCAAAACGAAACGAATCAGGATCATAGGATAAGGATAGCGTAGAAAAATGAAGTCACAAAATTTGTTTTTTGCCTTAAAAACAAGGTCAGGGTGTGAGGGCCTCGGCGGCACACCTCTACTCTAACTTTGCTGGAGGTACTCCCCTTCGAGGACTTCTTCTATCCTTCCCGAAATTCCTAGCTGCTACTAGGGGACCTTTCTCAAGATATCAACCAAATCTAGTGATTAAGGCGTGAAAATCCCTGCTTCAGAAAATTGTGGGGAAGTGGAGTGTTCTACAGTTCCGAAAAAGCTCGGAAATGCAGCAAACAGCTATGCCCTATTAACAAGCAACTAAACATGTTTGATTAAACCAGGTTTCACAGAACAGTATTCATATGAAATTCATCATGTCTTGTAATTTGCACTAAATTTGCAATTAACACGTAAGTTAGTAAGCAGCTCATTCTTTTATGAAAGAAACAATTTAAACCGTGTTTAAGCAAACAGCTTTTAAACATGTTTAAGCTTCGGTGTGAATGGGGCGCTAGAAAAGTTTGTCTTTCTGTTCTTTCGTTGGAACGTTTCAGATAATATTTACTCCCCTTAGCGGATATTTTACACTTTGGCAGCGAATAATCCGTCTGGTGCCCCTGGCTGACGTCGGTTTTTTGCCAAAGTGCAGTTTCTTGAACAACTGGCGGGATTGTGAGACCGGCTTCTCCTTTGAAATAGACAATGCCAGGCAGGACTAAAGTACTGAGACGTCACGTTTGTAAAACACTGAAGTAATCTTTTGATAAAGATTAGGACCGCTCACAAGTTCAGCTTCCTAAAACTCTCTGAGTTCTTGAAAAAGTAGTAAAAGTTAAGACCTCTACAGGCGGAGCATCTTTCGAAAAATATCAACGTATGCCTCTTTGAAGTCCCTGATTTTAGCAGAGTAGATCAGAAAGTTCATGGCTGAGTTGGACAGAGCCAGGGTTCGGAGCCACATGAGTAGAGAGCCGTTTCGATTTATAATTAGTTTTCCAGCGGCAAAGAATACAGTCATCAGAGGAACCCAACAAGCCGTGAAAACGCTGATTGCGATAGCCAATGTGCAAGCAACACGGACCTCCCTCCTGAAAGTCACTTTCATAGAATTTGTTCGGGCACCTAGGTGCTTTCTTTTCTTTCTGTGGTGGAGCAGAAATAGCACAATTAGGAAATAGAAAAAGAAAATAAAGAGATAGCAGAGGGCAAAAGTTCCCAATCCGATAAAGTGGGCAGGATAGGTGGTCCGCGGAACGATAGACCTCAAAACAGTCAAAAGAATCGGCAATGACCAGGATATTATAAGCATAAACTTAAGTCCGCATCCCTCGATGAAGTTCTTGTGCCGTAGTGGAAACACAACGGCAACGAAACGATCAAAACTGATTGCAACCATATGGAAAACTGAACTGCTGCACGAAATTTGGGATAAAATGGAGTACGTACGCTGTAGCCTCTTTGTGCACTCATGGAAAAATGTCCTCTGGATTATTACTTCCAAGAGTAGTGGCTCGCATACCAAAGTGACGATTAGATCAGCGATCGCTAAACTGAATAAAAGGTAGTTTGAGGCTCTGCGTAGGCGAGAGTTTGTAGTAATGGCCAAACAAACCAGGAAGTTTCCAAGTGATCCCAGAACGCATATGATAACATTGATTGCGATCAGTGGAATACCATGAGCCGGGGGAAGAGAACAACTGTTTGCGTTCTTCAATGATTCATTCATGTTGTCGTCTGGCCTGATACACTGCAAGGGCGAAAAATCAGGATTAAGGTCCCTTTTGCGTCCAACACTTAGCATATGTGAATAGAAAAAAATTGGAGGGAGGGTATAAATAAATTTGTTAACGGCCCTCTTTGATATTTCAGATCTATTTTGACGCAGAAGAACCTATATTTAGTCCTAGGACGTAAGCCAGAAATAAACATTCTGAAACTCTCTTTCAAGACGCCATGATAACAATAATCAGATACGTGAGGTTGACAGCTATAACAGCAAATACTACCCTGCTAGCAATATATCTTTTAGTAATAAATGCAAATACATACTGCATGTTGTTATATAGTTTACTTGGGTAATCCAGGCTATGGTCAATATGAAGACGTGAATTAAACGTGGAAAAAAGATAACTAATTAAGAGGCTGTTGACTAGATGAACTAAGTTAGGCATCGTCATTATTTCTGTTACTTTACTAAGTTGTTGTTGTTGAAGACCCATTTTCTGCATTAAAAACATTGTACCGGTATTGTGTTTGTGAAGTTTTTAGCCTTGATCGATTCAGTGTCGACGCATAATATCTGCTCAGGTCAATATCATATTACTTGATTTCCACCATTATATCGGCGAGCTACACCTACAATTACACGGGAAAAAGTTTGTAACACATTTAAACGAAACAATTTCACTGAAATTGTTGTGAATTTCAAAACATGCATGGCTGTGTAGTTTCATTTTTAGAGTTAAACAGGTCTTCAAGAAAAAAAAAAGAGATATCTATAAATTGACCAGTCCAAATAGTCAGTTTATTTTTCTGCTCTTTATGTTTCTTTTTCATGATTTACATATTTGTCTCAGACAAACGAAGCATTCTATAAAATGGAAGAAAGCAGGTTTAGGTTGACGAAATCCAGAATGGTGTGTGTTAGATACGCGCATATGCAAGCGTAACATACGGTGACAAAACAAATGGGGTATAGGACACGAAGACAGAAGCAAACCAGACACACCAAAAGCAAACTAGACATAACATATTTGTTATGGAATAAATGTAACAGATATCACGTCACCAAAACAGTTAGTACACAATACCTCACCCTCTCAACTTTGTCAGTTTAGTGCGACTGACGTAAGCAAGAAACAGACAGTCTGAAACTCTCAAACTACCGAATGATAACAATATACTATGATCAGCCAGATTGACATCCGCAACAAAAAAATGTTAATACTACCTTACCAACCTTAGACTCCCAGAGCAGACCTTGCGAGTATCCGAACGTCAGAAAATAGTTGTTATTACTTCTTATTTTTAACCGTGATGGATTATGCATTTGATTTCCCATGGTCTGTAATCTTATCTACTCAAGTGGAATTAGGAGTTGGGAGTTTTAGATCCCGGAAAAATTCTGTCAATTTTTTTACAGTAACATCGATTGACAACTTTCGACGTCTATTTTTGTTAAAGTTTCTAGGACACTCGCTGGGGAGAGAAAGAGAAAAATTGCGTCTCCATGTCGTCTTTTCCATGGTCTGCACTTGAAAATTGAAAATAGCTCTCGACCAATCAGAGCGAGAAAACGCTCAGATGCCTTAAGATGTATTATCATCATAATGGTCATTTTGCGATTAATATCCCCATGTATTTAATGTCGATCAATGCGTTAGCAATAGCCCATTTTACAGTTACAGATGGAATAATGAGGCTCGAGTTGACCTTGTTTTGATACAACCCTGCTTGCTTTATTATGTAAATCATGTTTTTGTTATTCTAAATAGTATTTTTTTAGCAAAATTTACGTTAGAAATGGAAGGAGGTCTGTATCAAAGCAAGGTCACCAAGGTCACCAAGGTCAGCCTCACGTTCACTCAAAGGCAAGGACACCAAGCCCACAACTGTAAAATGGCCTATTACAACTACCGGATTTGACCAACATAGAGTCGGAAAGCCCCGCGAGCTTAGCCGGGAAACTGAGGTCGTAATGGTTGTAGCCAAAAGTCATCTAGTTATAGTCAGCGCTTCTTACAACTTACTATATCAACTTAGCGAGCTCATGCTCCGATGAAGCGTGGTAAATTAATTTCCACGAGTAATGACAGGAAAGCAGCTAGCACGGCGTTGATTATTATGTACCTCTTCAAAATGCACTAAATAACTGAGTTTTAAATTAATGGGGAGGCCGCGTCGGATTGCCCTTCCGCGGGCCAATTCATTTTTGACGACCATACTAGAGAGAAGGTTTCTTTTCTTTTTTAGTTTCTTGCCAAAAGCAATACCCGCCAACCTATACCAGGGTTTGTCAATCTGTTTAATTCGGGCGTTCTAGGGCAGCTTTAGTTTCTTGGAACTTACTAGGACTTTCCTATCATGTTCCGTAAATTCTATATGACTATTCAAAGTTTAGCGCGAAAACGTGAGATTTTATCATGGCTATTTCCTTTTACGGAATCTCTTACTTATATGGTTGCTAATTGCGGGGAGCAGAATTTGATAGGAAAGCTCCCAATATCTTCTGTAATATCTTCAATGTAATTATACCAAAATACATTAGGCATGGCCTTGTTTGATCAGGGTCTTTAGTCTTAAACGGGGCATAAAATTTCCCAATTTAGCGTCTTGAAGAAATGTCTTCTTGGACCGCAATCCTTTAAAAGAGTGTGAAGATTGGCGTGGAGCGGTCTACATCTGTGGTATCAACAATTTTTTCTTAAAAAATTCAGTTCCATGAGGTTAGTTTGAATGCAAAATGAAACGAATCAGGGTCATAGGATAAGGATAGGGTAGCAAAATGAAGTCACAAAATTTGTTTCTTGCCGTAAAAACAGGGTTAGGGTGTGAGGGCCTCGGCGGCACACTTCTACGCTAACTTTCCTAGAGGTACTCTCCTTTGAGGACTTCCCCTATCCTTCCCGATGCTACTAGGGGACCTTTCTCAAGATATTATCCAAATCTGGTGATTAAAGCGTGAAAATCCCTACTTCAGAAAATTGTAGGGAAGTGGAGTGTACTACAGCTCCGAAAAAGCTCGGAAATGCAGCAAACACCAATGCCCTATTAACAAACAACTAAACATGTTTAATTAAACCAGGTTTTACAGTACAGGATTCATATAAAATTCATCACGTCTTGTAATTTGCACTAAATTTGTAATTAACCCATAAGTTAGTAAGCAGCTCATAATTTTATGAAAGAAAAAAATTTAAACCGTGTTTAAACAAACAGCTTTTAAACATGTTTAAGCTACGGTGTGAATGGGGCGCTGGAAGAGTTAGTCTTTCTGTTCTTTCTTTGGAGCTTTTCAGATAATATTCACTCCCTTTAGCGGATATTTTACACTTCGGCAGCGAATAATTCGTCTGGTGCCCCTGGCTGACGTCGGTTTATTGCCAAAGTGCAGTTTCTTGAACAACTGGCGGGATTGTAAGATCGGCTTCTCCTTTGAAATAGATAATGCCAGGCAGGACTAAAGTGCTGAGGGTTCACGTTTCTAAAGCACTGAATAACCTTAAAGATAAAGATTAGGACTGCTCACAAGTTCAGCTTCCTAAAACTTTCTGAGTTCTTGAAACCGTAAGTTAAGACCTCTATACTACAGGCGGAGCATCTTTCGAAAAATATCAACGTATGCCTCTTTGAAGTCCCGGATTTTAGCAGAGTAGATCAGAAAGTTCATGGCTGAGTTGGACAGAGCTAGGGTTCGGAGCCACATGAGTAGAGAGCCGTTTTGATTTATAATTATTTTTCCGGTGGCAAAGAATACAGTCATCAGAGGAACCCAACAAACCGTGAAAACGCCGATTGCGATAGCCAGTGTGCAAGTTACACGGACCTCCCTCCTGAAAGTCACTTTCACAGAATTTGTTCGGGCACCTAGTTGCTTTCTTGTCTTTCTGTGGTGGAGCAGAAATAGCACGATTAGAAAATAGAAAAAGAAAATCAAGAAATAGCAGAAGGCAAAAGTTCCCAATGAGATAAAGTGGGCAGGATAGATGGCCGGCGGAAAGATAGACCTCAAAACAGTCAAAGGAATCGGCAATGACCAGGATATTATAAGCATAAACTTAAGTCCACATCCCTCGATGAAGTTCTTGTGGCGTAGTGGAAACAGAACGGCAACGAAACGATCAAAACTGATTGCAACCATATGGAAAACTGAACTGCTGCACGAAATTTGGGATAAAATGGAGTACGTACGCTCCAACCTCTTTGTGCACTCATGGAAAAATGTTCTCTGGATTATTACTTCCAAGAGTAGTGGCTCGCATACCAAAGTGACGATTAGATCAGCGATTGCTAAACTAAATAAAAGGTAGTTTGAGGCTCGGCGTAGGCGAGAGTTTGTAGTAATGGCCAAACAAACCAGGAAGTTTCCAAGTGATCCCAGAACGGCCGTCGATAAAACCCGGAACATGGAACATTCCGGAACATGCCGGAACATTCCGGAACATGAAAAATTTTTTAAAATTTTAAAAAAATAATAGCAAGAAATAAATAAGACAATAAATATACTTTGTATATAACCAAAATAGACATAAATACATAAAATGAAAACGAAAAATAAAGAAAGAAAATGAATCTAGTATCTTCTCCGAGTATAAGGAAACAATATTTTGTGGGAATCACGAGAGGATGAAGCTTTATCCTCTCTTGGTCGGAATTGATTTGCTGGGCGAGTTATAGTAGATTGGGTTGCGAAGACGGGAATTTTTAAGCTTTCCTCACACAGAAAAAAATCTTTGGAAGTCGCTGGGACGATTTCCGAAATCCTGGTCATTACAAGACGAAAATCTCACGCATTTGGCTCGGAAAAAAGTTGGCAGGTACATGACTCTCATATAAATACTGTAAGCTTTAATATCGCTCGAATAAAAAAATGTAATCTATTTTGCCTTTTTCCTGAGAAACGAAAATACAAGGGATCGTACCTTTCGCAGGAAAATGAAGGGTACTCACCTTGATTTTTCCACTTCGTTTGGTCCCCGGTTTAGGATATGTAACAACAGTGATCTTCAAAAGCGAAGAAAAAGTCTTACAAAACATTATAAGATAACAAAAGCAACATTTAACAAAGGAAACTGCACGAATTACCTGGCAGTCATCGTCCGAACTGCTGTCTGAATCCATGTTTGCTTTCCATGTTGTTATGAAGCAAGAGTGTAGCGTGATTGTGAGATGGCGTGATTTTATTATCCCTTTGATTTTGTTAGTAATAGTTTCACTCGTCTGTCAGAGCGACAGAGAACTTGATGACAGATGGCATTAAAATCAAAAGCTTATAGATTAAAAAAAGGCACGATTTTGTGTAGTGTGTGAGCGAGCCGTTGTACTGTGAGGATCGAAGCTGTGAAATAAACCCTGTTTGCTTTAAAACTGTGATATCGTGAAGAACGGCCCTTCGGCATTCACGACACATGTGATCCTGAGCTGAGTTGGCGGGAAAGTATTGGAGCCTTCACTCATATGCTCTTTCTTTCTTTAGTTTTATTTTTTGGGCTCTTTAGTTATGTTTATATTTATTGTCTTATTTATTTCTTGCTATTATTTTTTTAAAATTTTAAATTTTTTTTCATGTTCCGGGATGTTCCGGGATGTTCCGGGATGTTCCGGAATGTTCCGGAATGTTCCGGCATGTTCCGGAATGTTCCATGTTCCGGGTTTCATCGACGGCCTCCCAGAACGCATATGATAACATTGATTGCGATCAGTGGAATACCATGAGCCGTGGGAAGAGAACAATTGTTTACATTCTCCGACGATTCATTCATGTTGTAGTCTGGTCTGATGCACTGCACGGGCGAAAAATCAGGATTAAAGTCCCTTTTGCGTCCAACACTTAGCATATGTGAATAGAAAGAAATTGGAAGGAAGGTATAAATAAATTTGTTAACGGCCCTCTTTGATATTTCAGATCTATTTTGACGCAGAAGAACCTGTATTTAGTCCTAAGACGTAAGCCAGAAATAAACATTATGAAACTCTCTTTCAATGTGTTTTGATAACGATAATCAGATACGTGAGGTTGGCAGCCATAACAGCAAATACTTGCCTGCTAGCAATATATCTTTTAGTAATAAATGCAAATATATACTGTATGTTGTTAGTTTACTTGGGTAATCCAGACTATGGTCAATATGAAGACGTGAATTAAACGTCGAAAAAAGATAACTAATAAAGAGGCTGTTGACTAGTTGAACTAAGTTAGGCATCGTCATTATTTCTGTTACTTTACGAAGTTGTTGTTGTTTTGGTTGTTGTTGTTGAAGACCCATTTTCTGCATTAAAAACATTGCACCGGTATTGTGTTTGTGAAGTTTAGTCTTAATCGATTCATTGTCGACGCATAATATCTGCTCAGGTCAATATCATATTACTTGATTTCCACCATTATATCGGCGAGTGACACCCACAATTACACGGGAAAAAGTTTGTAACACATTTAAACGAAACACTTTCACTGAAAAGATCATTGGATTTTGTTGTGAATTTCAAAACATGCATGGCTGTGTAGTTTCATTTTTAGAGTTAAACAGGTCATCAAGACAAAAAAGAGATATCTGTAATTTGACCAGTCCAAATAGTCAGTCTATTTTTCTGCTCTTTATGTTACTTTTTCATGATTTACGTATTTGTCACAGACAAACGAAATATTCTATAGAATCGCTTAATTGAGTAAAATCTTGCATTCTGATTGGTTAACGAAGCGAGGTATTTAATGTGGAGTGCGAGTTGTTATCTACGTAATAACTATCGTCATATTCTAACACAACAACTGCAAAAAAGGTTTTCTACAATGTCATTTTAAAATGTTTTCAAAATCATTGTCACCTTTTGAAGAGTTAAAAACAAACAAAAGCGTTTTTTAAAGTGATCCGGAGGTTCTTCCTTGTTTTGAACTGAACCACAAATTCTTGGAGAGGCATAAAAACCTCTTTCGTTAGCGACAACCAGAAAACAAGAAAATGCTGTGAACACGGCCCAGAAAATGGCAAGCCAAAGTTCAACCAAACAAAACGGAGAAGCGCCGACGGAGGAAGTGCCAGGGTCGATTGTCACATATACAGAAGAAGAAATAAATACCTTCAAAGACGACATGGCCCTTGAAAACACGAAAAAGAGTACGCCGCTTGTAGTCGTCCTGAATCGTGGTACTTAGAAAAGTACAAAACAGAGCTGAACTTAAACAGCATTTCTAAAACATTTGAAGGTACTTACCTTATATAAATGGCGACGTTCAACTTTCAATGCTATCGCTTCGACACTTCATTTCTTTCAGTTTTGCCACCGAAGAGGTAAAAGGTGTAAATTATTTTCCTTCGCGAGCAAATGACCAATTTGAAAAAAGATGTTATAGATAAACGGCCTGTAAATTCAGTGAAATCCCTTTATTTATCCTTACGATTAGTGTGAAGCTTGTTTACATGTAAAAAAAGTTTAAAAACAACTCTAAAAACAAGCACAAGGTACAAAAAAAAGTTGTCGAAGGTTCAAACGTGTACGACCCTACTTCGTGACCTAATTGCTTCCTATTCGCTAACGCAATGACAGTTCTGACAGTTGACTTTGAAATGGCTTTCTGGAGCGCGCGCTCAGGATAAAAACAAACAATATTATTGCTGTTTTCTTTTTTTCTGATTTTTATTCGATTATGCGATTCAAGGAAAATCCATTACCTGACTCGTGAAGTCCACGTTAAATTGCACTTGAAAACCGATATCGCACTCATGGCTTCGCGATTCGTGCGATATCGGTTTTCGCGTGCAATTTAACGTGGAATTCCCTCGTCAGGTAATGAATTTTCCTATAAAATAAAAGAAAGCAGGTTTAAGTTGACGAAATCGAGAATGGTGTGTGTTAGGTACGCGCATATGCAAGCGTAACATGCGGTGACAAAACAAATGGGGTATATCTTTAGGACAAGAAGACAAAAGCAAACCAGACACGCCAAAAGCAAACCAGACAACATTGTTATGGAATAAATATAAAAGATACCATGTCACCAAAACAGTTAGTACACAATACGTCACCATCTCAAAAATTGTCAAACATGCCGAGCCGTTCAACATTGAATGAATTTAGTGCGACTGACGTGAGCAAGAAACAGACATTCTGAAACTCTCAAACTACCGAATGATAACAATATACTATGATCAGCCAGACTGACATCCGCAACAAAAGAATGTAATACTGCCTTACCAACAGCATTTCCTGCAGTTAGCACGTGCTGTCTGTCTTTGGTTTACCTCCCAGGGCTGACCTTGTGAGTATCCGAACGTCAGAAAATAGTTGTTATCAAATCTTATTTTTAACCGTGATGGATTATGCATTGATTTAACAAATCGACAACAAATTCCCATAGTCTGCACTCCTAATTATCTACCATAAAAATGACGTCAAAATGTTTAAAACTCTAGTGGAATTAGGAGTTGGGAGTTTTAGATCCCGGAAAAATTCTGTCGAGTTTTTTTACGGTAACATCGATTGACAACTTTTGACGTCCAATTTTTTAAAGTTTCTAGGACACACGCGCTGGGAGAGAAAGAGGAAACTGCGTCGCCATTTCGTCTTTTCCATAGTCTGCACTTGGAATTTGAAAGTAGCTCTCGACCAATCAGAACTTGCGAGAAAACGCTCAGACACTGGAAGATGTATTATTACGATAATGGTCATTTTGCGATTAATATCCCCATTTGTTTAACATCGATCAATGCGTTAGCAATTACAACTACCGGATTTGACCAACATAGAGTTGGAAAGCCCCGCGAGCTTAGCCGGGAAACTGAGGTCCTAATGGTTATAGCCAAAAGTCGTCTAGTTACAGTCAGTGCTTCTTACAACTTACTATATCAACTTAGCGACCTCATGCTCCGTTGAAGCGTGGTAATTTAATTTCCACGAGTAATGATAGGAAAGCAGCTAGCACGGCGTTGATTATCATGTACCTCATCAAAATGCACTAAATAACTGAGTTTTAAATTAATGGGAAGGCCTCTCCGGATTGCCCTTCCGCGGGCCAATGCATTTTTGATAACAATACTAGAGAGAATGTTTGTTTTCGTTTTTAGTTTCTTGCCAAAAGCAATACCCGCCAACCTGTACCAGGGTTTCTCAATCTGTTTAATTCTAGCGTTCTAGGACAGCTTTAGTTTCTTGGAACTTACTAGGACTTTCCTATCATTTTCCGTAAATTCTATATGACTATTCAAAGTTTAGCGCAAAAACGTGAGATTTTCTCATGGCTATTTCCTTTTACGGAATCTTTTACTTATATGCTTGCCAATTGCGGAAAGCAGAATTTGCTGGAATAGCTCCGAATATCTTCTGTACATCCAAACAGATACCTAGAAAAGAAAATTATTAACATTTCTGAACAGTATTTGGTACTCGAAGCAGATATTTTACAAAATAAATGAATTTAAAATAATAAATGAAGGTTTTTGAATGCCCCAGGCTGATGTCAGATCGTTACCAGAAAGCAGTTTATTGCGCTGCTCAGTTTGCCACTTCGTTTCCCCTAATAGAAGAGTCCTTGCGCGCGAAGCGCGCAAGCGGAGCACCATGCCATCCGAGAAAATTTGGTAATCATATGACCGTACACCAACCACCCGCCTGAGAGACCGTCCATCCGCACCACAGGCATATTAATGTAAAATACCTCAATCAGCAGGTATGGTAACCCAAATGCGACTCGAGGTTATTTTGGCGGGAAATCGCATAGCCACCGGCGTCTTGTAGCGCAGAGACAACAAAAGAGTCAATAAAGACGAAAACGGAAAGCGGAAATTGTTTCTGTATCCTTGTTGTCTAGAGTATTAAGCTTAGATAAATTGTCATGTCCACAAATTTGGAATATAGAGCAAGACAAAGACAGAGGAAAAGAGGAAGTGGGCGGCAGGCCAGCGAAGCTCAAAGAGATAAAGGGCGACAGGGATTTAGAGCGAGAGATAAAAAACAAAGGAGACATTTTTTTGTTGGAAGAACAACAGGAAAATTTTGTAGCGGCGGTGACAATGCAAGGTGAAAATGAGCGGCAGTGAAAAAAAGTGAACTGGAACACGTACGACATTTCCTCCATAAAACGTGTAACTAAGAATTTTCTGGAAGTTCCAAGTTGTAGTCGTGCAAAACAACTTTTGCTAATTAGACCTATTGTTGTTTTTCATCGTTTTTCGGCGTTGCATGCCCTCCCCGCTTAGCATTGCACGATTTCATATTTTGTTTGAACAAACTATAAATATTTTCGAGAGCTTCGCTCTTATTCCTGGCTAAATCTATATATTATGAACTAAAAATATTGTGCATATAATAACAGGCAACAAGTAATGACACTTCATGTTATGAAATACTAATTAAAAATAACTTTTTTCATAACGAGTTCCCTTCTAAAGTAGTTTGACCACTCTACAGGCGGAACATCTGTCGTAAGATACCGATGTATGAGTCTTTAAAGTCCTGCATTTTAGTAGAGTAAATCAAGAAGTTCATGGCTGAGTTTAACCTAGCCAGAGTTAGGCGCCACATGTGTAGAGGGCTGGTTATTTTGGGTCTTTTAGTTTCAAACACAATGAGTATAGGAAACCAAGAAACGGTGAAAGCGCCTTTTGCAATAGCCAGTGTGCAAGCAACTCGGAACTCCATTCGGAAAGTCAGTTTCAACGAAACTGTTCGAACGGATTTCTTCATGAAAATTTTGTAACGCAGTGGAAACACAACGACAACAGAACGATCAGTACTGATTGCCACTAAATGTAAAACTGAAAAGGTGCATGAAAGACTGACCAAAATGCCGAAGGCAAGTGCTTTCAGGTTTGTTGTACGCTTATGGAAGAATGTTCTCTGGCTGATGTATTCCAGAAGAAGTGGCCGGCATATCAAGGTGTCGATTAGATCAGCGATTGCTAAGCTGAGTAGGAGTTAGTTTGGGTCTCGGCGTAGGCGAGCCAACGGCCAAACAAACAAGAAAGTTTCCAAGTTATCCCAAAACGCATACGTGTTGATCGTGATTAGTGGAATACTCTGTGCCATTGGTAGAGGACAACCGTTTCTGTTTGCCAATGGAACGTTCATTGTGCACGTCACTTGGGCTGGTGCTCTGCAAGTCGCAAACACAGCATTACCTTCTTTACCTCGTATATCATAAGCATTTATGTAGGTTAGTTATTTAGCAATTATTCGTCTCGCCCTCATGGCCTCTTAGTTCGGCCTCATGGGCTATTGACTCAGAGCCCATTCGGACTCGAGGAATAATTGTTTCAGGAAAATCTAACTAGTTGGTCAAAAATATCAAGACAAAACAACTTTAGCCAGAAAAAACGCGATTCAGCCACCATTGTTTTAGTTTTCAAAGCCGGCGCTTTTCACTCCTAGTGGGCCGTATAACATATAATCTAGTAATAGCTCAACCAGTCAGAACGCAGCATTGATAATAGACCAGTTGGATTTTACTAATACTAGATATTTCGAAATACCCGTATACAGTCTGTTGACGTAAGAAAGAAACTTACATTCTCAATATCTCAAAAGGTCAATTGATAAGAACACTGCACTTAAATCAGCCAGATTGACAACTACAAGAGCTGCATATTAGTATTGCCTTGCTAACAATATTTTCTGCAAGTATTTTTTATTTAATTCTACCGGCCACAAAAACCATCATGAAAAAGTAGCACTTATTAGTTCTTAACTTTAATCTGGATGGATTGTTATTGCCATCATCTTTTTTCGATCAATATCCCCATTAAATTCACATCATTCATAATGGTCATATATTGAATCAGTCATTTTTACTGACTCGCCCTGAATTAGAGTTAGTGCTGCGTTCACAAGTCCTCCGGATCTAGAGAAAATACCTCAAGGTGCTTATCTGTTATAACTGCGAGCGATACTCAATAAACTAAAAAAACAAAAATAAGGTAAAGCGACAAAATTGCTCTAAAATTGGACATGTTTATTGAGGAATACTGTACATTGAACTTCCAAGGGCAATTGATACTCTGAGTATAAACGTGTAAAATGAGCAAATAGCCTTGTGAGGAGTTGTTATTGTAAATACTGCTAAGTAATTGAAGTTATTTTAATGACATAGCAAAGGAATCGAGAACTTCTGCACCTTAAAGAATGTCATATACATATTGGCGACATCATGCAAGTATTTATGAGTTAGGTTCGCAACAAACTCTACAGACGGCACATCTTTCGAAAGATAGCTGCGTATGAGTCTTTAAAGTCACGGATTCTTGCAGAGTAAATCAGAAAATTCATGGCTGAGTTCGACAGAGCCAAGGTCCGGAGCCACATGTGTAGAGGGCCGTTTTGCTTCATCAATGGTTTACCGGCAGCAAACAATAAGGTCATTACCGGGACCCAACAAGCCGTGAAAACGCCGATCACAATGGCCAGCGTGCAGGCAACACGGATCTCCATGTGTGGTGAAGGATCAACAGAAACTGCCCGAGCCCGCAGCCGCTTCCTTTTTCGCTTGTGGATGAGCAAGAACACCATAATCAAAAGGTATGAGAAAATAACAACAAAATAGCTGAAGGCAAACGAAGCAATCGCCAAGAACCCTTTGGGAAAGGAGGGTGGGAGAACAACCATTAGAATGGGCGCTGAAATCGGGAAAGCCCAAGATGCTATCAACATAATCTTTAATCCACATTTCTTCATAACGATTTCGTGGTGCAGAGGAAACACAACGGCGATAAATCGATCTACACTAATACAGGCCAAATGAACGACTGAAGCGGAGCAGGAGAGATTGGCTAAAATAGAATACAGTCTTTCCAGGCTTGGTTTGCACCCGTGAACAAATGTTCGATTGTAGAACATTTCCAAAAGAAGGGGCTCACATACCAAGGTGACGATCAAATCTGCAATGGCTAAGCTGAACAGAAGGTAGTTTGAGCATCGACGAAGTCGAGGATTTGTGACAATGGCAAAGCAAACTAGTAAGTTGCCCAGTGAACCAAATACGCACACAATGGCGTTGGCTGTTATCAAAGCAATACCTTGATACAGGGGAAGAGAACAGTCTTTTGTAGTTTTCAGTGAAACATTCATGTTCAGTTGTAGTTTGGTGTGGAGCTCTGGATTTCGCAAAGGCTGTATTGTATGTGTCTTCTTCTTCGTCTCTTACTAACAGTACTATAACTATAAGATGACTGTTTTTCCCGCCCACTCTTACATGAACAAATCTTATGCTGAGTTCGAAGGATCTATACTGAAGATGACTGACGTACATAAAAAGACATCCTATTAGCTTTCGAAGAAGGAAAAGATAAGTCAGATTATCAACAAAAGCACAATATCAATATTAGAGTTCTAAAAAGGATTATTAATTCAAATGATATGGTCTTTGATTTATTTTATTGGCTGACTAAATCTCGTAGAGTTTCTTCATGCCTATAAACAAGAGAGATCCTTCACTAATTTCACTTATTGTTGCTTCTTTTGGTTCGTGATCCGGTAGTCTTTACTCCTAAGGGCAAACGTGTTCTTCAAGAAAATGAGACAGCTCAGCAGAAATTTTTCTCGGAAGACGAAATATCCGAAGCATAATTATGTCTTGCAGTTGTGAAGTTGTTTTCACCAGATATCCCTTGTAGACAGTGAATACGCAGGTGATTTAAAATGAACAAAATTATCCATTCCACAGTAAAAGGATTTGTTGTCGCAGGGTATCCTTTGTGGAATAGGCGATAAGAAAGTTAACAAGCAAGGAAGCAAGGCTACAATCTGCGACAAAATTAGTTTAGACACTTCGCCTTAATGGAGCTTTCTGGCATTTCACCGAAGTTAAAAGGGGAAAATAAAGATTCTTCCCCATATCCTCCATTTAATGTTGTGCCGCTGTTCGAGTTACCAGTAGAAAACAACGAACACCCCTACATTGAATGGAGGGGAGGGGGGTGGATTCTTTTTTCTCTGAAGTTACCCTATTTGAGTACAATGTCTCAACAGTTTTGTCGCCGATTGTAGGTAATTTGTAACACTGGCCTTGCTTCCGTTTGAAAAGGCATGCAAGTAAAGGCATTTTGACTAAACACATTTACAGAATATGTAAATTCCAATCAAGAGACATTGAAATGTCCATAATGTATCTGCGATAAAACAAGATCATGGGAGTATAACTAATATAAACCCCTAGCACAGCGTTTCTTACAACAGTATACCCTCAACCTTTTGCTCTGATGAAGGCAATTCCACTGGTTATTTAGGAAAACAATGTTACGGCCTTCTTTTGTTTATTGTGTACTTTGTCAGTCAAGTTGCAACGGGGTTACTGTAGCGTTCTTAAGGAGTATGTTGAGAAGTGGGACCGTATAGGTTTTTATACACCACCACAAAACGCTTTGACAATATCCGACAACCTGTACCATCGACATACCATGGGTACTCTATACTCTACGACGGTTTTTTCTTACAAATTTTCTGTTACAAATATACTAAATCGATTTCCCCCTCTCTTCAAAAAACACTTTCAAATACCAATATTCGACAAGGAATCAGGTAGATAAAGAACCACTAATAGGATGCGCCACTTCTAAATCGTCATTTTATTTATTTATTTGACATCATCATCATTATTGCAATACTGTAGTTGCTGTTACAAGGTTGTTGTTGTTGTTGTGGTACGTCATAATTGTCAAGATATTGTATTGCTTTAGTAATTTTAAGTTCAACCTTATTCACTTACCGATCTGCTAAGGTCAAGATCAAATCACTTGCGTTACGTCATTGCATCTGTCAGTGATACTGTGCTAAAAAATGAGGCCATTTTAAAGATATGGGCTAAGTGTCCTAGCCTTTGAGTGAATGTGCGGTTAACCTTGTTTTGATACAAACCTCCTTCCCTTTTCTAACGTAAATTTTGCTTAAAAAATACAAGTTAGCATAAAAAAAATATGATTTGCATAATAAAGCAGGAAGGGGTGTATCAAAACAAGGTCCACTCCAGCCTCGTTTCCACCTGAAACTGTAAAATGTGCTATTCTGCCACGTGACATATCTGCATTGAATAATAGAGAACTTTAGATTCGAGGACGAGATTTGACTTTTCGCGAATTCTAAAAAAAAAATAGACACTCCGGGAAGCTTCAGTGTACATTTTTCACCAGAAACGTTGGCACCATTATCTTTATAGAAGGAGGTTAAACCCTCTCCTGGTCGCAAAATGATAAAACTTCTAA